CCGAGATATAGCTGAAATAAACCCTGGGTGGGGGTGGCGGAGGTAGTAGATTAGAGTCTTATATTTCAAAGAGGCCATAAGTGCATTATTTAGTTACTTATATGACGTATTATAGTAGTCAGAAATCCCCAATAAACCTTTTAAGTTACTGGATTTTTTTGGAAATCCTTACTGTTTCATCTTACTTCAGATAAATCACATGTTAATAAATACCTGACGCAAATAGTGTGTGAATATTTCCAATCTCCTTTTATGATAATGATACCATTTAGATACAATTTATTAAAATTTCCTGTTTTATATATTATATTATATAGCCATACAAAATCTATTGATCTTTTCTACAATCTACAAAACAGTAACTTTCTCTTTTTTGAAAGTAAATTTTGGAAAACCCTAATTATGGTTTAAAATAATGGAAAATGGTAATTATTATACTAATATAGGCCGACTAATTGTTCGTTGTTGCTTTTTCTAACAACTGTTTTGAACGGAAATATTTTTTATATAAATTCATTAATTGAAAATGTAGATCTAGTTTAAACAAATAAATAACTTTAAAATAAAAATCATGAAACAACATTACTATTTAGAAACAACTTTTAAAAATAAAAGGAATTATGTAACCCTGGCATGGTCAAGGGAACCTATAGGTGAGTGGACAATATATTGTCCAGGGGTGAAACTAGGCTGGGGCCTAAAGCATCACCTCAGGGTGCTTCACTACCAGAATGAATTTATGGTTATGTATGGCAGGGCGACGGAGGTACAACTGCCATAGGCATTAAAATGTCTCAGTGCTAATAGATGCCCGGCTCCAAAACATTCTACCCCCAATCCCCCCACGGATAAAATAACCTGAAATAAACGCATGAGCCAAAATGTTGTCCATAATATTACTTGTGTAGTAGGCTATAGAAAGAACTGCACCCAGGAAAACTTAAAGTTGTCTCTCCCATCCTTATGGACCTATGCCATTCTTAATTTAAATGGACTGGTGGACATTACCATAGACTTTTCATTCTCTACTTAGGCCTACATATTATACGTGTACATTCTGTGTATTTTACTGTTTCAAGTTTTATTTATGCTTTATTTAGAAGCAGCCTTGGAAATTCATTTAAATCTAAAAGATTTGTAATGTGATAAATTCAATGTTTGTAGTTGATCAGTTTACTTAGGGAAGAAAATTATTTTGAAGTATTGCATGCATGTAACAAGTGAAATTAAAATATTCTGCTCATATTTCATAATATTATCATATGTCTTTGGTTCCTGTCTTCCATTAGTCCAGACATTTAAAAAAAAATTAAATTGTATTTTTGTCATGAGCAGATTCAAGGAGGAAAGAATTCAGGAAAAGATATTGTAAAACACAACACAAGGAAGAACAAGACTAAATTCATATTTCATTATGAGATTCTCAGTTTATTAGTTTATTACATTTATGTGTGTTTACATCCCTTCCCCCTATGGACAGACAGCTCTGCTGTTGGCTCAAATTAAGTATTTTTTAAAAGTGCTTTCAATGACTAAGAGATAACAGCAACACATTACCACAAGCACAGAACTGGAGCAGCTTGTCCTTATCATGCCTGGAGCCTGATAGACATGACTTAAATATCACTTGCCTTCTCTGCTCACATTGTTATTATGCTGGCCGGGAAGGGTGGCAAGTCTCAGCTCCACAAGTCCCGAAGGTTTGGCTGTTGTTTCATAACTGAAATAAGGATGGCTAATTGATGGAAAAACATGCATACTGATGAAGCAGAATGGTTGCTTATTATAATATAAGGGGTAAAAAATAAATCTAAGTCATTTTGCTGACAGAAGAAAATTGATGTTTCTATCTTGGCAGTTTGCCTGACATATCGCCACACTACTCATTCATCTGACTTCTTCTGCATCTTATTGTATCATTCAACAGGGTAATCAAACAAAACTTTAATTTTTTTAATATAATAACATCTACAATACAAATTAAATATTGGAATAGTTAAATGGACTTTTTTTTTATATTACTACAAGAGGTTCTCATAAGTAGAAATAATTTCAATGTACAATTTCATACAGTGTAACAATTTAAGTGTTATAAGTTATACCTTGTTTAGAGTGGTAACCCTAAAACAAAATACAGTCTTTATGACCCAAATTGGTTTTTCCTAAAATTTTCTTAATTCAAAAAGTTCAATCAAATATATATATTTTAAAAAAAATCTAGCAATTTTCTGAAAGTATGAAATTATTTGTATAAATATATACATAAAATTATTTATTTGAATGTTTTGACAAAGATAAAATAGCATGCAGTTATCATTAACTATAATTATATCATTAAAAAAAAAAATTAAATCATTTTACTTAAAAATAAAATAAATAGATGTATTCAGCACCACAATAATCCTAAATAGTTTCAATAACTTATAATAACATCTTTACACATAATAGTAGACATTCTTCTCAGCATAAATAAATAAGAATATAAAATGTCAGTTTGCATACATTGAAGCCCCAGAATATATCAGTTAATTAGGAGATATAAGGAAAGGAAAAAAAAAAGTGCTATATCAAAATAACATCAATTTGTCTATTTAAACAACTGGTATCACAGCACAAGTCTATAATCCACTGGCCGTGAGACTGGTTTCAGTTCTTTGTTTTCCCCCAAAGCAAAGAAATTCAGTCCCACTAAGCCAAGATATAAGTTACTGACTGTCCACAAAATACCCTAATCTCCAATCTAATTCATCATTTCTGATGCCAGTACGAATTCTATTATTAAACACAAGCTGGTATCTTGTTAAATTATTTATGAAATCATTAAACAGAGAACATTCAACCAGCAGAATGAGGACAGACATAGTAATTTAAGTTATGCTTACACGATAATGTTGCGCGAGGTATAGGTGTAGATATAGCTATGACATGGTTGGAAAATAAGCTCAGATTTGCTGGTACTGGTACATATATTAATCTGAAATGTCAAATTTAAAAAGTAGCTGAGAAAAAAATAATCAACATGTATACCCTGTTGTCAGATGAGGAACAGCTAAATTCATCATATCAAAAGAATGTCCTCCAAGTAAACACTGCTAGAAATAAAGACAAGGCTACTCACAAGTCAAGTTTTACAAATGAAAAATAAAAGGTTTTTCTTTATTGATGACACTACGTACATCTATGAGTAATTAAATCTTACAATGTAAACATGTTGAAAAACTGGTAAAAATTCTATGACATTAAAAATAAAAATACAATAGCTATAAAAGAAAATAGATTTAAAAATGACACTGTACAAGTAAAAGGTGTCAAATACATTTTTCTGAAAAGCAAAAGCTGATCCAGGGTGATGCTACGGGGGGGGGGGGGGGGGGGGGGGGGGGGGGAAAGGAAGGAGATGAGCTTTCTTAAATCTTTGTGGGATACAGAACCTCTGACTGTCCCATGATCACTATGTATAAGGTAGGATTAAGCTTTCTGTTATGTGAGGAAAAGATGTGATATGTTAACAACAAGTAAGTTAATTCATCAAATCATTTTGAACAACAGTCCACAAGTCATTACAATTTAACATCAATCTGGGTTGACATAAACTCTTGGGACTATTAATTTATCTTGCCAAAATTCTTGACAAATATTGTTTCACTTCACAAATTTTATGTACATTAAAAACTAATAGGGTGACAAAATGAATTTAAAAATCTGGCATGCAAACTAATGACAGCAAAATGAAGCTACAACCAAAACGTCAATTGGTCCACGGATGGCCAACTTGGCACATATATTATAAGGAATTTTAACATCCTCACGTCTCATTCGTAAATACGTGCCTCCTCATTTTTTAAAAACTTTAGTGAACATAAATTATTTCACAAAGTTAAAAAAAAAAAATTAACTGGTTATCAATCATGATTAATCAATTGATCTGTCATTTAAGAATATTTACATCTTATGGTCAACTTCAATTCTTTAATGATTTTAACCCACAATAGAACTCTCTGAAAGACTTGGGGAACCCCCTTTAGAGGCAGTATAAGAAATTAAAAAGAAAAAAATAAACAAGTAGTTGCAATTTATTTATTAGATCTGTTTCTAAAACCCTGGATTATTTTTTCTTTGTGGGTGAAATTTTTGGTATCCTTGAAATTTTGGTAGTTGTCACGGTCGGCATGGTAACGTTTCTGGTTTGTACCACATGGGTCTGGTAGGTAACGGTTGTGTCGTTCCGACCTCCCACACTTCGTTTTTCCGACTGCATGGTTGTGAAGACTTCATGGTCATCTGAAGCCTCACTTCCCGCTCGGCTTGTAGGTCTGCTTCCGTTACCGGTACTGGCTCGACTAGTTCTGCCACTTGCTGCAAGGAGTGAAATAACATATTTAAACTAATGGGTTCAGCTATATAGTAACAAGACTTGAACTTGAATATCAGGGTTGCGTTAATTCAAAATTTATTGCAGACAATTCCTGTGGCTTACTGATACATCTCGATGCACCCAAAATGCCTACAACATAAACATACCACCCTGTTCAAGAGAAGACTTGATTCACTGTGAATAGTCTTGGAATTTCACAACTAATAAAACAGTATAATTTACTTTCAAGTGACTGCAGTTAACACACTATACTTAAAGAAACATTTTTTCCTGGTACAATAATTTAAAATTTCAGGGTTGAAGCCAAAATCTTATACCCGGTACTGTAATTAAATTCCAAAAGAAACTCATCCCCAAAATGAATTAAAATATATTTATACTCTTTTTTGCATACTTTTTCTTTGAAATTTAAAAAAAAATAAATATATTTTTCAGTTGTGAATGAATATACTAAATATAAGGAGAGATGCCAAGTCTTGACTGCATTAAATTCCATTTCTCTTAATAGCGTGTTTCCACTGTATATAATAACTTTACCTTTTAAGAGAAGAGTTACTTCTGCTTACGATTTTTCGTCCTCAATAAGCTTGCATACGCATTATGAATTACCTTTGATGTACTTTGGTTTCATATTTTAGTTAATTTTTTAAATTATAAATCAAGTATAATTTTAAACTATCCATTAAACGTGCAAATTTCAAGCAGTCTTTGCCATCCCACTTTTGGTTAAACTTATAATGTATCAATTATTTACAAGTACAGGATAAGTTTTTCTTTGTTTGAATTACTTAATTTGAATGTGTTTTATAAAATAAAAAGTTGAAAATAATTGTTGAAGCAGCATTAAATGAAAAGCTTACTACTGAACTAATGTTTAATTTCAATAGGTTTACTTCTTAATTTTAGCCATTTAATTTTGCCTTTTCAAGATAAGTTCAATGGAAAAACCCTAAGTACCTGGACTTTGTAAAGTTCTGGGACTGCGGGCAAGATCCTGAGTGACTTTGTGTTTGACAGTTTTGGTGCCATCTGGTTCCGTGTGTGATAAGATCTCATGCACTTCACCATCAGGGGAGGTTTTAGTAGTTTGTTTCCATGGTGACTGGTGGACAGTTTTCTCACGGATCTATGCAATAATGTTGACTTGAACATCAAATGTTAATCATAACCAGAGTATCTCTTTAAACTAAATAACTGCTAATATTGGCCAATACTCTGTATTTCTGCTTCCGAGTCCCTTTTTTTCATTATAATGCTAACAAACAGGTAGTATGAGATCTAGCCACTATAAGTTATCATAAAAGCCATTAAAGCATAGGATAAATAACATATTCGTAATAAATCATTACATTATCTCATTTAATAATTAGGATATAAAAGAAAACCATAGCAGAAATAGAGTGGTATAAGACTCTTTCCTAACCTCAGATCACAAACATAATTTTATAGGTACAAGATAAACTGGTATATAAGCTTTTATCCTATGGCCCATTAAATAGATCAATTTGTGTGACTGTTCAGCTACTGACTATAATTTCACTCCATGGATTCCTAATGAGGAATGCTGGTTACACTGAAGTTAATTTTTCACATGACATAAAAATGTCTGACATTTTGTAACTGTATAACCCAGGCCTGCACGCCAGCACCCACTTTGCGGCCTGTGAAGTAACAAAATATTCTTTATTGTTATTAATTTCTAAATAGCTTTTCCCCTTGTCCTATTTTCTTTCGGCCTGCACAAGTTTTGCATAAAGTACATTTTGAGTTTTGCAGGCCTGGTATAACACAATGCCATGATTCCCTCCGCCTGGAGCTGAGACAATGTCTCCCCATGAGTACCTTAGTTATTGGTCCACTTGCGGTGCTGTTAGAGCGACCAGAGTATGACGACCCACTGGAATGGGAGCTTCCTGCTGGAGACTTGGACACAAAACCTGCCATTGATTGGCTAACACCCTGGGCTAAGATGAAGTTTTCTCTTAGTTCAACATTAGTTCGACCCTTGGCTGCATGAAGGAAAACACACAAAAATATTAGTCATTCTTCAATTATTTGGAAAAATAAATAAAATTGAAACTTCTAACCCAAATGTTATCCATTTTTTCCCACACTGCACAGTTGTCAAAAAGTTAAAATCCTACCATAAAAGAGAAGAGATACATTTAGAGTTAAGTCACATAAGCAAAATTTTGACCAATTTGAACAAGAATTTTTATTGATTATGAAGTTGATTTGGTTCTCAACTGTGGCATTCAGCCACTTAATACCTGTAAATATGAGTTTAAAATTTTGGGACAAAAAAGATTCTTATTTAAAAATAGTTTAAAATAGAAATTCGTAAAACATAAAATTCTCATTTAATATAAAATTACAAGGGTGATGTTACTAGGCTTCCACTTCACAATAACAGTGTGCAGCAATACAATGTTATTCAATGAACTAAAGTTTCATACTGTCCAACATGCATTCTAAGCTATTAATTTACATAAACAGTGGATATGTGTCCAAACTATTGCTTCCAAATATCCAAACGCTAGGGCATTATTTACTGAGAGTAAATTATTTACTGGAGTGCTCGCAGTTCTGTTTCATTTCTTACTTTCTATTACTCACTATCAGTTACCTAATTTATTTATTTATTTATTTATTTAGGCATTTTTATATAGCGCTTATCATAAAGCTCTAAGCGCTTTACAATTATTAAAACAAGTAAACTAAGTAAATACAAATGAGACACTAGGATAGTAACTACTATTCTATAGAAACAATGAAAATGGCTATAAAAAGAGGACACTTTGACACTTCAGGATTAAACCGAAACAGAAAATTAGGTAGGGCAAGGAGGGTGCATCACAGGTCATAGGCGGACCTAAACAGATGAGTTTTAAGGGACTTTTTGAAACTGGACGAGGTTTCACTATGACGTATATGGAAGGGGAGCTGGTTCCAGAACGTGGGCCCATGGAAGCAGAAGGAGCGTTCACCGATGGTCTTAGTTTTAGTTCTTGGGATTGAGAGGGTTCTACTGTCAATGGAAGAACGTAGTTGTCTTGTGGGGATGTAAGGAAGCAACAGTTCAGAGAGATAGACAGGAAAGTGAGGGTCAGTGAACGAGTTGAAGCAAAGATTGGAAGACTTGTATTTGATGCGAGAGGATATTGGAAGCCAGTGGAGTTGCCGCATGTGTGGTTGAATGTGGTCATGTTTCTTTAATTTAAAAATGAGTCTGCATGCTGAGTTCTGTGCCTTCTGAAGTTTTTCTATGTGGTGTTGAGGAATGCCTGAGAGAAGAATGTTACAGTAGTCAAATTTTGAAAGAATGAGTGAAGAGACGAGAGTTTTTGTGGCATCAAAGGAGAGGAGGTGTCTAATGGTGCTGATTTTTCTAATTTCGTTATATGCTGATCTGCATATATTCGTGACATGTTTGTCCATGGAGAGGGTGTCCGTAAGAGTGACTCCAAGGTTTCTGGCAGAGGGAGAGAGTGTGATGTCAGAGTTGCCAATAGATATAGAAGAAGGAGCGAATGGAGGGAGAGGTTTGTTTTGAGAGTGGATGAGAAGGATTTCCGTTTTATCATCATTTAGCTTCAGTTTGTTGCAAGTCATCCAACGCTTTACATCGTCCACGCACTCCTGTATGCGAAGGATTGTGGCATCAAGTTGATCAGGAAAGCAAGAGTCACTGATTTGAGTGTCATCAGCAAAGGATTGACTGGAAACTGAGTGGTGGCTAATGAGAGATGATAGAGGTTTAGTGTAGAGGATGAAAAGGACCGGCCCAAGGACCGATCCTTGAGGAACTCCAATAGACAGGGCTGAAGGTTTGGAAGAGCGGTTGGAAATAGAAACTAATCTACTGAACTGAATGGACTCTAACCCTAGCCCATACCAACATGTCCAAATCTATGGGCTACAGTTACAGTGACAAGTCTACAGCTACAGTGACAAGTCACACATCAAGACTCTGCTGAATTTGTAGTTGATTACTGCCCCAGATAGTCAATTATTATGCCTGTTTAAAAAAACTGAAGTGTGCTCATTGCTGTAAATATCCCATACACGCAATGAAAATAATCCTACTGACGTAAAGACAAGTATTTAATGCATTGACATCAGACATCCGAACAGAAGACAATAATTTAGTGCATACATTGAAAATGCTGTTAATTAATTAATTGCTGGTTACTGGGGAGGGTGGCATTAGTAGGAGGACACCTCACTTCCAGTGATATGAAGACATCAATGAGAACTGACACAAATAGATGAAAACTGATGTAGGCAGTGACACAAGCCCAACCCATGTGATAGAGGCAGTGACAAAAGCCCAACCCATGAACACACACCACAGGAAGTCATGTAATTAATGCTCAGAACCTTTTTATTACTGAAACCACCAACATTTAAATTTATGTGGACAACGTTTTCATCTAAAAAAAACCATTAGTACTATTAAATTTCATTGACACCCCAAGTCAGTGACAAAAGCCCAACCCATGAACACACACCACAGGAAGTCATGTAATTAATGCTCAGAACCTTTTTATTACTGAAACCACCAACATTTAAATTTATGTGGACAACGTTTTCATCTAAAAAAACCCATTAGTACTATTAAATTTCATTGACACCCCAAGTCAGTGACAAAAGCCCAACCCATGAACACACACCACAGGAAGTCATGTAATTAATGCTCAGAACCTTTTTATTACTGAAACCACCGACATTTAAATTTATGTGGACAACGTTTTCATCTAAAAAAACCCATTAGTACTATTAAATTTCATTGACACCCCAAGTAAAAAAAAAAATTGTCAGGAACAGCACAGATAAAAATATGATAAGATTAGATTATGGCCCACATGGCCCACATGTACCCATTTGATTAGACTGTGCTCACTCATACCCATTTGCTTTTATTTTCATTAATTTAATTTAAAAAATCTTGCCACACACCAATTTGTTGACATTGTCTCAAGTCTATTTATAGTTTGGCTCTAAAATCATAAGTCTATTTACAGTTTGGCTCTAAAATCATAGAAAGTTTTGATTTAAATAAACACAAATATTTTCATTGAAGATATTCAAACAATATAATAAATTATATGAATATGGTGCTAGGCTTTCACCTCACTTTAGTTTGCAGTACCAAAACCCCAATATTAATTATGAATAAACATTCTAGAACTGTATACAGTCTCAATAAAACTGATGAGTCATGTGTGTTGCTTGGAGCAAGAATAGAAGGAAAATATTTGTTATGGATTACTTCTAATTCTAATGGTCTATGCTGGCAGTCAGGTCAATGAACACATCACAATACAGTTTGAGAAAAAGTTGACCTAGATAATCTCTAGAGGTTACAGTTGTGTAATAAACATGGTAAAATACACTAACATCCTTACCATTGAAGGAATTATAAAGGTATATTGTGTAATGGAGGCCAGATAGGTGATAGGTTCAACATTTATTGAAATTATATGTGTGCTCTCTTAAGCCAGAGGCACACACTCACATATGCATCACACACATATGCACCGATATATCACACACTTATGAATATATACATCACAATCAGCTTGGTTCAGCATATTTATAAGCCTAAAATAAGGTGTGTATTATTCAGAAGTTAGTATTACTGCTTTAAGTTTAAGGTCTAAATGAAAAATAAAAGATTATTTTTATAAAAATTCTCATGCTGGTCGACGTGTTTCAAGTTATTGAAAAATAAAAAAAATATAAATGTAGTAATCCTTCCACCAAATAACAAACTATTCATAAACCAAACTAAGTTAACATTTAATTTTATCAGTGTTAAAAAGAATTCTGGAAAAAAAAAGATGGTTGCTTAAAAAGTTAGCACAACAGTATGACCATCAGCAAACATATAAAACAACCAAAAAAAAAAGCAGTTAAAATAAGGATAAAGATGGAATGTCTTGAGTGTTGGGTCAAGCTGAAATTAAAAAAAAATAAAAATGTTAAAATTAGGAAACAAAACAAAAAGACGGCATGAAGCCCAAAAATAAGCAAACCAGAGAAGTTCAACAACCAAAAAGACAAAGCCACTGTGGAACCAAAAAATACACCACAACACCACATTAAAAAATAAAAAAAAAATAAATGTAGTAATCCTTCCACCAAAAAACAAACTATTCATAAACCAAACTAAGTTAAAATTTAATTTTATCAGTGTTAAAAAGAATTCTGGAAAAAAAAAGATGGTTGCTTAAAAAGTTAGCACAACAGTATGACCATCAGCAAACATATAAAACAACCAAAAAAAAAAAAGCAGTTAAAATAAGGATAAAGATGGAATGTCTTGAGTGTTGGGTCAAGCTGAAATTAAAAAAAAATATAAATGTTAAAATTAGGAAACAAAACAAAAAGACGGCATGAAGCCCAAAAATAAGCAGACCAGAGAAGTTCAACAACCAAAATGACAAAGCCACTGTGGAACCAAAAAATACACCACAACACCACATTGCTGAAGGAAGGGCCACAGATCCACAGGGAAAAAAATGTTAAGACTGCAGGCAATGCTTCACATGATGCCTATAAAGTAACGTACATTCTTCACTGTTCTGGTGGAGGTACCGTCGTTTAAGGCGGAACTGCTTGCGACGCCATAGGCCAACTTTAAAGAAAGAACAGTTGGCATTGATTAAACTACTGAATGCAAAGTATGATGAGAAATTCAATATGAATAAAATGCATCATGTAAAAGGTATATTTGAATAGAAATTGATAATAAACAAATGGCATATACTGATTATAGTTCAATAAGGTGATCCAGGGAGCATCATCCCATACTATGGTAACCCTTCAGTTATCTGTCCATGATTTCTTAAGCTAACTGCCCAGATCTGATGTCAAAAAACTCCTGTGCTTAAAGCGTTTATTTGTACCAGGTAAACTCTGCTTATATTAGACTTATTCAAATGTATTCTAAGGTTACTGTAGTTTAGGGATTAGATAACTTAGTACATTCAGGAGACAATCATTGAGCTAAGAAAAAAACTTAATTGAAAAAAAATGAATTAAAACAAATTAAATAAGTCATTGGGCAAAAAATAAAATTTGTTCACTAAAATAAACTTGCTTCACAAAACATGAAAACAAATAATTATTTATCACAGAGGTTAAAAGAAAGCTCACAGTGATGAACTGGGATAAAAAAAAAACAAAAAAAAACAGAAGCAGAATGACAAAAACTGTATTTAGCTGAGCCACATTAGTTTCACTAACATTTAAGGTGAGTGCATTTTGTAAGGTGTTGTCCATTATTAGGCCACAGTTTAATAGTTTAATCAGTGATAAGATTTCCACTAAGACCTATTTTAACTTATTTTGCCACATTTACAAAGAAAAGAAAAGAAAAGACAGAATAAATTGTTTCTAAAGGTACGTTCACACTGTGGCTTTGTTGCATCCACACTGCGGCTTTGTTGCATCCACACTGCGGCTTTGTTTCATCCACAAAGCTTAGTGGTGAATTCAAGGTGAGAATCCATGACACAGATATCCCCTGGAGATGTTCACACTGAGCATGCACAAATGTGGCATCAGGTGCAGAACTTTTCTTTATATTTTTTTTATTTTAAATTTATGTGAAAGCGCAACGGACAGCCACCTGCTACTGAAACAGACAGCTACCTGCTACTGCAATGGACAGCCACCTGCTACTGCATATGGCTCTTTAAATGAATAAATTCTGCATTTTTCTTTTTTTTAAAATATGATTTTATCAATAACTACCCATGAACGAGAAAATTAATAATTCCATTTTTAAAAAAAAAGGCATTGTTCCGGTAAAATCTTTTCTTCTCTTGCCCACTCAGATAAAAATTAAACTTAATTTTTTTTTCACAAATTTTTGAACTACAAAATATGGCTGCAATCAATTAAAACATTTGTAAACAAGTAAGATGAAAATAAATCCATCATGTTTTTTAAAATTTATCCATTTGCTACAGGTTGCTATGCTACTATCCGGTCAGCTTATGATAATGCATGTTTCGGTATATCGCCAGCAGAAAATATACTGCAATAGTTCAAACACCCATGAAAATGAAACTTGGTGGCCCCATTTTCTTGACAATTAGTAGCATGTGTTCACAAAAAGTTGAGAATCCAATAACAAATCCACAGTGTGAACTGACCATTGACATCAAAAATGTGAAAAGATATTTTACATACAAAAATTATTGAAAAAGGATGAGATATATACATATATATATATAGAGAGAGATAAATATATATATATATTTATATATAGAGAGAGAGTGATGAGAGAACCTCAATCCACTAAAAGAGTAAATATAAAACAGCTAAATAATTTCCACGTTTTCCTTGAATGAAATTTTCATAACATTCATAGAGAGAAATGTGAGATTTATGAGTATCCAGGGAACTTTGACACTCAGAATAAATGATTGAAAACACTGGGATGATGGTTTGGTTTGAGGGATGTCAAACTTTTTTTTTATCCATAACTCCCAGGCTCTATGAGGCCAACATAAAAATGTATCACCGTATTGATCAATGCTAATGGAAGCTGCTATCTGAATTTTAAGACAAAGTCTTTGGAAAAGACTGATTCTTTCAACCTGATATAATTCAACACAACAAAGATTGGCACATATCATAATATCTGAAGTCAGCTTGTTAATCCCTTTCATGACAACAACTTGGTGACATTCTACAGCAGCTTTTGTTTAATATAGATATCACTGGCAAAAAAAATTAACTAACAAAAAAAAAAAAAAAAAAAAGCAAAAAAAATTAAAAAAAAAAAAAAAAAAAAAAAAAAATCCAACAAGAAAAAAACAACAACAACAACAAATGCAATGCTTGCTTAAAAGAATGATAGTTAATTTGTGAAAGGTTGTGATATTGTGCTTCAAGGCACACACAAGTAGGATTTAGATAGAATTAAAAAATATGATCAAGTATTCCTTTTAAATGTGATCTGTACCAATGCCACGATGGACGGGGGCAATTTAACAAAGCTTGTAACAATTTAAGGCCTACTTAGTGGTTACTTCTATAGGAACTAGTAAGATAAATGTTCTCACAATGAAAGACAAAGCTTTGATAATACCACACATTTATCAAGATCAATTTTTAACAGAATGGAAACATTTGAATGCATTTTAAGAAATGGATATATTTGTTATTTGACCACTGTTTAAAATTCATATGTTTCGTTTCTATAGAGTGCAGCAATGTCCAGCATTAAACAAATCCACACAACCCTGGACAAGGCCTTTTATTTTAGTAGATTCTGAAACAATCAAATTATAATAGCAAAATAAAATAAATAAAAGGATCATGTGCATATTTAGGTGATTTAGTCCATGAAATAATCAATGAAGAACTACACATGAAACCTCTCTGGTTCCAAATATAGCGTCAGTCATTGAATGTCTCTTACAGAATACACATTATGGAGACCCCATTTATAGGAAATGGCAAGTTTTCCTATTAAAGAATTCAACAAATTATGTTATTTGATGATAGAAATGATATAGTTTGCAATAGTAATATATAATAATACAGGGTGCGTATAGGAAACATGAGACCCATATAACATTTGTTCAGGGAAAAAATGAAGCTTTATTAATTAGTCTTTATGGTATTGCTTCCCTGATTTGATTTTAATTCTAAAGTTAATAAAATTAAAAAAAAATACATAATAAAAAAAAACAACTTAGAACATTAAAAGCTGGGAAGCAAACTTTTGATTTAAAATGATAGTTTGAAAATTTGAATGCTTTCACATCAAACAAATTTGTCATCTCACCAATTAGACAATCTAAATGAGATAAAAGAAAAGGAGGAAAAAAATGGAGAGTAAAATAAGTAAATCCACAACTTAACTTTTTGCCATCATTAAAATAATTTCTTTTCCTCCAAAAAAATAAAAATTTAATGGTAAATAATATCAATTGTAGCTGGTAAAATATTTAGTCGTAAATTTAAATCATAACATATCAGATTTTAAGGGAAGCTTTTACAAGTTTTGATGAAGAATTGTTTAGTAAAATGATAAAATAAAATGGGTTGGTGGGGATAAAGCTACCATTATTCCATTAAAGATTTGGGAAGTTTAACTAATTATGATAAAGACCTCTCATTCATGAGCCACTAATTTAAATATAGTTAATAATAGACACTAGTTTACATAATATATGCATTCTAAAGCTTTGCAACGGTGACCTTTATGTTGGAATAAAGTCACATTTGCTAAGCTTTTTTAAGCTGATAATTGGTGTTTGCATGGGGAGTCGGAGCATTGCTTAATGGATGAGATATTATTGTGAGAGAATAAACTGAAGCCGCGACTGCTGAATACACATTTCTCTCCTTTCTTTCATCATACTTACTACTACGGGGAGACAAGAGACGTTTGAACTCTGCATTGTTTACAAAACATATTTCAATTAAGTTCTAACAACTTAAATCAAAGGGAAATAATCAAGATGCTTGGACTCTGCTCTGTCAATTAAAATTGATCACTCTTATTTCTTTTTCAATACCGGGTATTATAAAACCACAAATATTTAATATTACGTTGATAGGAACTTTGCTTAAAGAGGAGGGTGAAGGTACCATTACACCAAATGATTGTTAAGTCCAGGTTAAACCCACAAACAAAACAAAAATATTCTAAATAAAAGGTTTCACCTGGCCATTCAAATCATTTTTTCTAAAATTGGGATCTTAAACTCAGTTATTAGGAGTATTAGTTTTAAGGAATTAAAAAAATAATAATAAAAAAATTAAACCAAATAATTTAGCCCAGATCCATATGAATTATTATTGAATGGGATACAATTAAGATCATGTTACCAGCTATTTCAACAAATTCTGCCCATAAAAGAAAACAAATTAATCATTATGTAATGTTGATCTACAATCAAATTGTAAAACTATTAAGTTTTGCTTGAATTACTTTGACATGAAATTAACAGAAATATTTGATAAGATTTAACCTTAATTTGATTGGTTTATTTCTTGTTCTTTAAACAAAAGAAAGGATTTGATGGTGAATGTTTACATAAACACCTTATATATAACAATGAAATAAAACACTCCACATGGTCATGAAATATAAGACTTGATCCTGGCATGCCTATAGAGTCAAATTGCTTTCGCAACTCATGAAGAAATAAACTTGTTTCTATCTAATGAATGACAAAATCTTGGCATGTTTGCTTGTGCTTTGCTTTGAATAAAAACACAATTTCTTTATCAAAAAAAAATTTAATAAATGAAATTTGAAAAAAATACAATTAAAATAATACTAAAAAGAATAAATCACAAATATTTTAATTGCAAGATTTGAAACTGATAATCTAATAAAAACCAGTGGTCCTGGTTAACTTACCTCGACATGGGTCATTCTTGACCAGGAACTCATCCAGTGCTATCCAGCCACCACCAACTCTCACCATCACTGTACTGCGGAGGATTCGCACCAAACGGAGTTTCTGGGAGTCTCCAAACTGCAAACAATAAAGAACTTTCATTGAAGAAATTATTTAAGATGCATTAATTTCCTTCCTAGTCTAACTGAAACTAGTTAAAAAGTATGCTCTTCACTCATTTCAATTTGGCCAACTCTTTGAATTCATTTGTTCATAAGGGGAAAAAAAAGAAGAGTCTAGAATTATTGTGGCAGGTTCGATAACACAGTGCGTATAATTCATTACCTCACCTAAAACTCTGGTATAAATCAATTAATCTATAGTTAGGCCACTATGCTCACCCTGTATTTGCCTTCTCCAATCTTGTGTATTTTAAATTGTTTGACACAAGTGCATTTAGACACCTGTCTCTTGACTTCATCCATAATCTTTTCAGATTCTGTTTCTGGCTTGGGCTGGTAAAAATAAAAACAATGGTTCAGGCTAGTCATAATTAGAATCTTCTGTGAACAATATTAAGATTAAAAAAAACTTTTGTTGACACTAGTATCCTTGGGATATAATCACCATAATCCTCTCCCTACTCACATCTCGGTCAGGCCTAAGAGCTGCAACAAACTCCTTGTAGTTGATAAAACCATCCCTGTCTTTATCAAATATGTCTGCCACTGCTTCCATCTCCAGTTTGGAGGTAGGGAATTCTATTATGTAGGAGTTAAACACAATTAAATTAAATGACTGTTGCAAAAAATTATGATATCTTTATGTGTTGTAAAAACATATGGCTCATCAACAAAGTATGTGCTGTACAAAACATATGGATCATCAACAAAGTATGTGCTGTACAAAACATATGGCTCATCAACAAAGTATGTGCTGTACAAAACATATGGCTCATTAACAAATTCAGATCATGATTCTCTATCACAATGTTTAGCTTAAAAATGTATTTTTTTGTTGCAAAAAACAATTTTTTAGGATGTACTGCTTACTGGACATAAGAATGCCATCAATAAACTCTTTCCTTGTGACTCGGCCGTCTCGATCCCGATCCTGGCGTCTGAAAAAGTCCATGATTCTGGCTTTGTTGTGATGCATCCACCTCAAGTATCGTTTGCGCCAGTCTTCAAATTCAAAGTTCTTTAGCCTCTCAAGCTGTGCAAATGGAAAGAAAAAAATGTTGAAAAAATACTGAAAAAAAAAAAAAAAAAACGGCTACAAATTTTATAACATTTAATGAAAGGATAAAAAACTTTATTGATAATATTTAAAAATTTACCCCAATCTATATTTTTGTTCGTTCAATCACTTAAACAAGAAGAGATTTTATATTGATAAAAACATTTTCATAAGTAAACAAGTCTTTACATCCCTTCCCCACTAATTTCCACAAGCAAGTTAAATTTGAAGACAAATGTGATCTTAAAGTATAATAATTATAGTTGTAATTATTACAAATATCAAGATGTCATCAAGACCTTAGACATTTTACCAAACAAATCTTAACTTAAAAAATGCAATTTTTAGAAATATTATTTCTTCAGTCAAATATTGGTATTTTATTTAATTGTGTTGAAAAAACTTTAATTTAAGAATTTGCTTTCAACTCATAATATTAACAAATAACCCAATTCAATTTTAACATTAATTTCAATTGTAAACTGAACAATTTCTGGTTAGATATGAAAGCATTATTATATTTATCTGTGTATCTGATCAGTGAGCAAATTTCTCACCCACACATTTAGGATGTGGTTAGATATACTATATAGACAATATCAAAAACTGTGTTTCACAAGGTTGCTACAGGTCTAGATGGGGGCTAACAAATAGTGCAAAATGAATCATTTTAAATTTTGTGCATCACTGATGAAATGAGGCCATCACATCTCTTTATAAAAGGGAGAGTACCTATAAAAACATGGTTATATAACCTATACCAAGACATTTCAATTGGTATTTTTTATGTTCAAAGACCTTATTTATACTTTATACTAATAATTTAAAAAAATTACACTCATATTATTTCTTTTTTGCAAAAATTAAATAGGCCAGCAAAATATTTTTTTTCACTTTATGAGCCAAAATATTTAATATTAATTTCAAAGTTTGTTCTTAAAAAATATATGCAACATAAGATAATCTGGCAACAGTGTTAAATGGGCAATTCAACTGACAACAAAACACTCATTGGTTTTTAAGGTTATAGAGGTGGTTTAAAGAAAAAAATTCAGTGCAAAAAACTCAAATTCACTTATTATGAAAGTTTATATAGAGGAAAACTGGTATTTTATTTTTTTTTACATAAATTTGCTCTTCAAGTAATATTTAATGAAATAAATGCTTATATTTCATTAAGTAGCAAACTCTTATAAAGATCTTGAAATTTTCTGTCTGTGCTAAAAGATGTCTGAATAAGTTAAGATATTCTTTGGCTGAAACATTTTCCTCCATGAAATACAGAATGTTTTATTTATTTTGTCGAGTTACAAAAATAGACAGGTATAATTCACACCTAAATCATTGTAAAAAATATATATAAACAAAAAAAATTAAGGCTATTTAAAATTTTGTTTTAGTGTTAACTCAAATAAGCATGACACACAAACCTTAGCATCACATTCTCCAATCTGAGAAAAGTCATGCAAGTTACAAAAGTGTATGAGATGCAAGTTTTAAACAGGGTGCATTCAAGTTTCCAAACTAAACAGGACATTTAACCTGGCCAATATGTCCCATTAAAGAGATATAGAAAAGTGCAATAGGTAACTGGCTATAGGTTTTGTTACTGTTTGATGAGCTTAGTTGTGAACCTTCAAAATTTGGCAAGAACCTTTTCATTTCTGTATGGTTTACACCATTTCACTGATCAATTCATACACTCTTAGGAAAATGAGAACAGTTCCAATAAATAGAAAAGAATCATGCATTATATTGAGCTGGCCCAACCAGTGACTCCTGTGGGCACATTAATGTTATTCCTAAATCAGAAAAGTTTCCATTTGGCATGCTGCATTCTGTGCTATGTATTCAATACACATAAACTAAAAAATACTTCTTTGCTTCAGTCATCTTTGGGATTAGAAATATCTACTAAAATGAATGACAAGCATTACAGGAACTAATCTGATGTAACTAATCTGATGTAACTAATCTGATGTATTTTGATTGTTTCTACAACAGTTCATGCTTGTGAGATCTCATTTGATTATAATCAACACCCATTTCATCATGCATACAAACATGTAAATGACCAGCAGTGACCGATCCAAGGGGATGCTGGCCATTGGGTAACAACTACCCACTATCTAATTGTACAGAAATTTAAAATGTAAGAACTTTCTGTATTAATAGTTGCACTTGTACACCAATACTCCACTAATGCCCCCCAATTCTTTAAGTGCTTTCTCCGTAACTGCTTCATACAAACAAAATCTGAGGCAGCTGTAGAGAATTGCTCTACTTACTTCATTGAGGTAATCAAGAGCGTCTTGAAGCTTTCTCTGTCTTTCCATGGCCATCAGCCACACCTGTCTCCACTTGTTGAAAAGTGCACCCACACGTGGGTTGTGGAAGCCTGGTTCTGGTGTGCGACGACCAGAATGGTCAGGTGTGCGTCTACCCGAGTAGTGGTCAGGTGTTCTCCTTCCTGAGTGGTCCGGTGTCTGCCTGCCCGAGACATCTGGGGTTCGACGTCCAGACACATCTGGTGTCTTACGTCCAGATACGTCTGGTGTCTTACGTCCAGACACGTCTGGTGTCTTTCGTCCTGAGAAATGGTCAGGTGTCCTACGTCCAAAATGGTCTGGTGTACGTCTGCCATCAATATGATCAACTCTACAGGAAATATAATGATAAGAATTTTGTCTAACAATGAACTACTGAATTATTAATAAGCAACATCTTTATCATTGTTCAATGTTAAAATATCTCAGGTTACCTGATTGTTGGAATCTTAGATCTTGGAGTCATTCTCCCACTTCTGTAGATAGGAATTTGAGATCCACCCTGAGAATCTGACCCAGCTTTTTTCTTGTCTGCTTTGGTCAAACGGTCAACATCGGGCTGTTTAGATGAAATCTGATTTTGGAAGCCCTGTCAAGTTACATGGAAATATTATTACATTAATGAGTGAATGAAAATAATTCTACATCGTCTATATTTTGATAGTTTATAAGATAGCTTAACTTAAAAATGTTCTACTCTTAAGAATACATGAATGGATTTTAGAATGAAACTTTTTTTTATTTTGTAGAAAATTAATTTTCTTTTTATGTATTTTTATTTGGCCAGAATGCTTGTCTCATGCCTTACTGATCCCATGCTGAGTTAAAAGGAGGCCTTACTGATCCCATGCTGAGTTAAAAGGAGAACGATGTGAATCACAGGAATCAAATATAACATTATAGAGTCAAAAGAGTCAATCAATCAGGTTGTGCCATCAGTGATCATTTAATGGCACCGACTGTCCTTAAGTTGAGTAATTAGCACTGCTATCAAATCTCCTGCTGATGATATTGTCCCTGATGCTACTCAAATTTGGCACTCTACAAACATCTGTACCTGATGCTATTTAGATTTAGCACTGTACCAACATCTGTACCTGATGCTATTTAGATTTGGCACTCTACAAACATCTGTACCTGATGCTATTTAGATTTAGCACTCTACAAACATCTGTACCTGATGCTATTTAGATTTAGCACTGTACAAACATCTGTACCTGATGCTATTTAGATTTGGCACTCTACAAACATCTGTACCTGATGCTATTTAGGTTTAGCACTGTACCAACATCTGTACCTGATGCTATTTAGATTTAGCACTGTACAAACATCTGTACCTGATGCTATTTAGATTTAGCACTGTACCAACATCTGTACCTGATGCTATTTAGATTTAGCACTGCACAAACATCAGTACCTGATGCTATTTAGATTTAGCACTGTACAAACATCTCTACCTGATGCTATTTAGATTTAGCACTGTACATACGTCTGTACCTGATGCTATTTAGATTTAGCACTGTACAACATCTGTACCTGATGCTATTTAGATTTGGCACTGTACCAACATCTGTACCTGATGCTATTTAGAGTTAGCACTGTACAAACATCTGTACCTGATGCTATTTAGATTTAGCACTGTACAAACATCTGTACCTGATGCTATTTAGATTTAGCACTGTACCAACATCTGTACCTGATGCTATTTAGATTTAGCACTATACAAACATCTGTACCTGATGCTATTTAGATTTAGCACTGTACAAACATCAGTACCTGATGCTATTTAGATTTAGCACTGTACAACATCTGTACCTGATGCGATTTAGATTTGGCACTGTACAAACATCTGTACCTGATGCTATTTAGATTTGGTACTGTACCAACATCTGTACCTGATGCTATTTAGATTTGGCACTGTACAAACATCTGTACCTGATGCTATTTAGATTTGGCACTGTACAAACATCTGTACCTGATGCTATTTAGATTTAGCACTGTAAAAATTATCTGTACCCGAATATATTAAAATTTTGCACTGTATAAATATATCTACCTGATGCTGTGCTATCAAGTCCTGAATGATCTGCAGGTCTTGTGGAATGAGTTCATGATCTAGATCTGTAAGCTTAATTTCTGCACCATTCAACCAGGCGAGAAGTTCATCTAACAATATGTTATTGTGTCTAGCAGTGGCCAGGGCCTCCGTCAATCTCTTCTGTCGTTGTCTACTTAAGCTCATCAACTGAGAAGAAGAAACATTTGAATTATTGAGTCGGACCAAAGTGTCTCTTGAAATTTTGTAATGCAAAAAATGTTCTCTCTGGTAGACGTTTGAGAAATTTAATGTTTTAAAAAACGCAACAAAATACGTGTTTTAAAATGAAAAAGAATACTTTTTTTGTAAAAATGTTAAAAACCACTTTTAAAGTTTAAGATGACATGGATCCTTTGTTTAAAACATATCTTGTTTATGAATAAATATTTGTCTATGTGTTTATTTTATTGGTTTTAAATTTGCATTTTTTTGGTTAGGCCTGACTATGTAGCAAACAACAGGAATATGTCCAACCTCTTCCCATCTTGTCCTCAGCACACCCAACCAATGCTTCATGGTGGACACGGCGTCAGGGTGGCATCTCTTCATGATGTCTTGTCCAATGTTCAGTGTTTCTCTCAGGGTGGCTTCTTGTCGAAGCATGGACTCTTCAAATTTCTGTTGGGGAATAAATGTTGTTGTAACAGAAATACGTTTGAAATCAATTCTATTTGCTAAACATTTATAAGTATCCAGAAATATCCTATGATTCTTAGGATTAATAAGTGGTACCTTATGGTCCTCAAGCTGCTGAATGATTTGAGCCTCCTCATCTGGTAGGGGACCCTTGAATCTCAACTGTCTCTCAGAATCTGCCAGCCAGTCCAACAAGCCATGAGCTTTCTTGTCAAACTCTTCAGCCTAAAAAGTATACAAAACTTAATTTTGGTCTGTCACCTGCTCAAGTTTGGTCTCATATATTTAAGCCTGCCATTTTCTACATTTTAACTGTGATGATGTGCATCACTTACTAGTCTAAGAATACTATTACAGGTTAGTGTACAGGCATTATTTCTTACCAGTACTTTTAAAGATTTTAATTTTCTGTTCATGCCATTTAAAAGTTTTTAATGTCACACAATGCAGTTGAAGATAGGAATAATGTAACTTAAGTAATAAGTGAGCTACTTCCAAGCCTAACTGGCAACTTACCAGTCTGTGAGCTTGTTCTAATCTCTCTTGCTTGCTGACACTCAACCTGCATGTCCTGTCCCACAGGGCAGACAACTCTATCAGCTGAGACTGCACATGAGACATGTCTTCCGTTGACTTCTCTATCAGTTCTTTGGCTGATTTCCTCACAAACTGAACCGTGTTTGCCCTAGCACCGAGCTCTTGTTGGAAAGCCTGTCAAGAGTCAACAAATCAACAATCAATAAACTTGTTTCTATTAACAATAAATAAATTACCAGTCTTATTAGTGACAAGCCTATTATTTCATTGGTCCTTGTTACACGTAAAACTTTCACATTCTGACCAGTCTTATAAGTGACTAGCCTATTACTTCATTGGTCCTTGTTACACGTAAGACTTTCACATTCTGACCAGTCATATAAATGACTAATCTATTATTTCATTGGTCCTTGTTACACATAAGACTTTCACATTCTGTATTATTTCTACCCTATTTTATTTCAGCTTGAGCTTGTAATCTATTTTTAAAACTGTTATTTGACCTTTGTTCACTTGTACATAAAGTTTTAAAAAATAGGGGGATGTGGGAGGTAAGTCATTTCTTGATTGTGTTGGGAAATAAATACATTAAAATTTTTTTTTCTGAAGCAGCAGTTAAGACTATTACTTAATGTACAGTATTTTAAAAAGAAGTTCTACTCTGTTTTTTTTAATGAAAATTTGTAAAATCAGTTTTAAGGCAGTCAAATATTTTTTTCTTCTAAGAATTACTTTATGAGCTTCCATAAATCCATTGACAGTATCCAGGTCACCATGGACGGCGGTGTCCTCTGCCAGGGAAGGTTCCATCTTAGCAAGCCAATCCAATAGAGCCTGTAAAGCTTCTGTGAATTGACCCGTGACTAGCAGCCCTTCCTCCAGCTTGCGTTGTCTGTTTGGGGATTAGATAGTATTTGAATTAAGGGTGAGGAGGAAGAAAAGTTTAATGTTCCTATAAGAAAATAAAGCATTCCAAATCTGAGTGGTAGTTCAATGTACAAGAGAATATGTTCCCAAACAGTCTGGGAGACAAACCAAAGTAAGAAGTAATCTATATCATGACAACACATTAAAATCTTTTCAGCATCACTACAATGGAGCAAAATATGGAAGGTCTTATCCAAATATCTTTATGGATATAGTCTGTCTTGTTGTACAAAGAAACTATATTTATGGATTTAGTATGTCTTGTTGTACAAAGAAACTATATTTATGGAGATAGTCTGTCTTGTACAAAGAAACTATATTATGGATATAGTCTGTCTTGTTGTACAAAGAAACTATATTTATGGATATAGTCTGTCTTGTTGTACAAAGAAACTATATTTATGGATTTAGTATGTCTTGTACAAAGAAACTATATTTATGGATATAGTCTGTCTTGTTGTACAAAGAAACTATATTTATGGATATAGTCTGTCTTGTTGTACAAAGAAACTATATTTATGGATTTAGTATGTCTTGTACAAAGAAACTATATTATGGATATAGTCTGTCTTGTTGTACAAAGAAACTATATTTATGGATATAGTCTGTCTTGTGGTACAAAGAAACTATATTTATGGATATAGTCTGTCTTGTTGTACAAAGAAACTATATTTATGGATATAGTCTGTCTTGTGGTACAAAGAAACTATATTTATGGATATAGTCTGTCTTGTTGTACAAAGAAACTATATTTATGGATATAGTCTGTCTTGTTGTACAAAGAAACTATATTTATGGATATAGTCTGTCTTGTGGTACAAAGAAACTATATTTATGGATATAGTCTGTCTTGTTGTACAAAGAAACTATATTTATGGATATAGTCTGTCTTGTTGTACAAAGAAACTATATTTATGGATATAGTCTGTCTTGTTGTACAAAGAAACTATATTTATGGATATAGTCTGTCTTGTTGTACAAAGAAACTATATTTATGGATTTAGTATGACTTCTTTCACTGAGTGACCATCTTAACAGTTATAGTATGTCTCATTTCACAGAGAAACTTATTTAGACCGACCTGTCCACTGATTTCCCACAGACGGCATTCCACCTGTTCTTCAGATCTGTCAGCAAGGACTGAATGGCAGGTTTGTCATCAGCTGGACACCTGGTCTGCAAGGTGCTGCCCCCTCTGTTGATACCATCATAAACAGGCTGTTTGGCACCAAGTCTTCTTTGGAATTCCTAAGAATATAATTTATTTGAAAAAATGTTAACACATTTTGGGGGGTTAGGTAAGGTAAAGTGTGAGGAGGGAGAGAAGCTTAATGTTCCTATAAGAAAATGTGTCCACAGATAAGAACTGTATAAACGGCAGATTATCATGCTTTAGTTTAGCTGAGTAAATACTGTCATCATACGATTACCTTGTGCCTGGCAATCTGTGCTTTGATTTTCTCTGGCTCATTACTGATAGTTGTGTCCGAGTTGAGGGCTGCTTCAGCTTCCGTCAGCCACTGAATCAAGTCTTTCCACGAGTCATAGAACTGTTTAGCTTCCTTGTAACCTCTCTCAAGATGCCTGGTCCTCTCAGCACTCCTGGACACAATCTTCTCCCACCGGTGTTGGACACTGGACAACAGGTTCTTGATGAGGATGACATCCTGTTTTTGACTGAAGTACTTCAGGTGGGTGCCCATCTTATCTAGGGCAAACATGGCCTCCCTGTGACCACTCACATCTTTCTGGAGCAGCTGGAAAAAGAAAACAACAAAACAAGTCAGACCTCCCAGCAATTAAAAAATTCGTCACGATGACAGCAATGAAAAATTATTATTATTTTTTTTTTAAATTGTCAAAATGCTTTCCCAAATTTTGTGGTTTACTGCACTTTTATCAGTTACTGTTTCGAAATAAACTTCTTTAGACAGAGCATTTATTTAATAGCAAGGCTTGGGCAGGATTGAGCAAATAGAAACAAGGTAACGCTGCAATGGGTTCCAAGCCACGTAAACATGAAGGACAATAAAAGAGCAGACACGCTTACAAAAAACGGGGCTGCCCAGTCCCAGCCAGAAACACCAGTCACTTATCTCTGTGTCGAAAATTGGCTGGCTGACCACTTTAAAACAACGTGGTACGGATAGCTGGCAGACAACACAAGGGCCAGAGGTGCATTTGTTAACATGCCACATCCTAGCAGAACTAATTCCTGGTGGAAACTGGGTCACAGATAACCAGAGTCTGGTGACCCAAATGCCAACAAAAGACTGCCCCACTAACTCTTACTTCAACAGGCTAGACAACAGTGACCTGATCTGCCAGCCCCAGACACAGTAGCGCATCTGTTGACTTTGAGCTCCTTTGGATATGTAGGGCAATGGGAGAGTCCTACATTCAGACTTTGTTATATGGCACTGCCCAGCAGATGGACCAGGTTGCCGCTGTACTGCATGGGCTTTAAGAGCGTAAGCTCTACCACAATAGGAATATCAGTTAGTAGCAAGAAATTGTTGCTCTGTGTTTTTGATATTACATTTCCAAAAAAGTAAGAAAAAGGGAGTGTTTATTACTTTATTCCCTTTGTATTTTTTGGGGCTAAAGAAAAAAGTTTATTGAGCCCAATGTCCATGATTTCTCCACATTTTCTAAGGATTAACAATGCTTGCTTCAGAAAAATACAAAATGAATTCTGCCATATATAACAGTGAAGATAGTTAATTAAATTTAGTAGCAGTTTACACAACATACCCTGTGGTCCTCTATTTGTCGTGTGACCCTGTCTACCAATCTACTGACAGGCTGAAGGTTGTTGAGTGTCTTCTCTGTGTCAGTCAGCCAACCAATGAAGTTGTTCAATTCAGCATGGAAGTTTCCAGCCAGACCAACAGCATCTTCCAATTTTTTCTGTAAGTAAATAGAAGCATGTGTCTCAATTCTGAAATGTCTAGAGTCAATCATGAAATGTCTTGAGTCAATTCTGAAATGTCTTGAGTCAATTCTGAAATGTCTTGAGTCAATTCTAAAATTTCATGAGTCAATCATGCAATGTCTTGAGTCAATTATTATACAATGTCTTGAGTCAATCATAAAATGTCTCAAGTCAATCCTGCAATGTCTTGAGTCAATCATGCAGTGCCTTGAGCCAATCATAAAATGTATTGAGTCTTTAGACATTGATTGCACTTCCCTACCTTTCTGTCTGCAGCTCTGTTACGTAGATGTTCCCATCTCTGCAGCAGATTTGACATATTGTGTCTGATGCTGGAAGCAGGGGCTCCTTGACTTTTGACAGCTAGTTTCTCAGACATCAGCTGGAGGCTCTGCACTGCTGGCTCTAGGCCTTCCATGTTGGCATACACATCCTATTCAATGACATAATGATCACTTTCAAAAACACTTCTTTAATGTTAAGAATACCCAGTGGGCAAACATAAAAAGTTTAAAGTAGGTCTACACACTAGACAGACAAAACTGCAGAGAAAATTCTGCTCAACTGTGATAGTTGGCAACTGGCTACAGAGTGTGGAAGACTTATGGAAACTTCTAGTCCAGTAGTTAAGACATTATTAAATGAATAAACTTTAATTTAATTTCTACATTTCATGATTTTCTCCCTTAAATGGCTTAGCTTTGCTTGAAATATATTATTCTAATAGCCAAAAAAAAAAAAAAAAAAAAAAAAAAAAAAAAATTATTAAATGAATATACTTTAATTTAATTTCTATATTTAAAAATTTTTCCCCTTAAAAGGCTTAGCTTTTCTTAAAAAATATTATTCTAAAAACCAAAAAAAAAAAAAAAAAGAAAAAAAAATATCCTATGATTTGACTTCTAATCAATTCTCTAATTCTCAGTAATCAGACAAGAGAAAATGATGAGCATTTATTTGAATTTTAAGTGGGTCAGAGCTTGCTGCTTCTCACCATGAACTTCTCCAGCTGGTCCTTGGCAGTCTCAGGCAGGCCACCAACAGGCTGAGAAGTGATCATCTGACCATCAAGGTCACTTATCTTCAACAGCATGTCTTGCAATTCTTCAGTGAAACCCCGAGCCTGATGCACAGAAATATAAATGGCACAATGATGCAAAAGTACGCTTGCAATAACATCAACTTTTATCATCAAGAACATGAATTTTTAATTATGAAATGTCCATAAACGACCTTGTTATGAATTGATTTGTAAAACTGTTGAATATTTTGCTACCCACATTTGAATCCATGGCTTAGTTCATTAACTGGAAGTGGGTCAACAGACTCTAATGACTGCTGCTTTAGATCTAAATTGAGGCTTTTATATCCCTTGTATATATGAATGATATGGTGACTTGACTTAAAGATACACACAAAGCTTATAAACAGCAAAAGCTGCCACTGACCTCTCTTCGAGCTGCTTCTAGTTCAGACTGTTTCTTGCCAGATTTCTCCTTCACAGCTTCCCACTCCATTTCCAGTGCATCCATCTTGGATTTCATTTTAGCAGCCTCCGGGCCTTTCTCTTTAGCTATAATCTTCTTACTTTCTTCAATCAGAGAGTTCAGACTTTCTTCATGGGCCAAGATGTCATTATTTAAAACCTATACAAGTGGAGAATGATCAAACACACACAAAACATGAGTTCAACTTTCAATCACAATTTTCTCATGCATGTCAACACCCAAAAATTAAGTAATCCTAGGCTATGTCATCTGTATAATTTTTACATTTATTTATAAAGTTTTAAAAAAAATTGTTGAAAGTGTAAAGAGATAAGCTAAATAGAGATGTAATGAAAAGACTTTCAGGAGGGAAACAGCTTTAACCAGAAAATAGTATAATATGATGGAACAAACGTTTCACAAACTGGACCTTCAGTAGAAATTTGCACTTGGAGCCTAATAAAGTTGGAATGAGTTTTTGTTTAAACTGAGTTTGACCAGATCTATTTCTTACAATGAATTTGGCCAGATCTATTTCTTACACTGAGTTTGGCCAGATTATTTCTTACACTGAGTTTGGCCAGATCTATTTCTTACACTGAGTTTGGCCAGATCTATTTCTTACACTGAGTTTGGCCAGATTATTTCTTACACTAAGTTTGGCCAGATTATTTCTTACACTGATTTTGGCCAGATCTATTTCTTACACTGAGTTTGGCCAGATCTATTTCTTACACTGAGTTTGGCCAGATCTATTTCTTACACTGAGTTTGGCCAGATCTATTTCTTACACTGAGTTTGGCCAGATCTATTTCTTACACTGAGTTTAAGCAAATCTATTTCTTACACTGAGTTTAAGCAAATCTATTTCTTACACTGAGTTTAAGCAAATCTATTTCTTACCCTGAGTTTGGCCAGCTCTATTTCTATCAGTTTAGGATCTCCATAGATGATCTCTAGCTCCTCTAGCGTGAAGTCTGCTGTCTCAAGCCAGGACTTAAAGTCTTTGAAAGCCTGATCAAAGTGGCCCATACTTATCAGAGCCTTCTGGATGTCTCTCTGAAAAATTTAAATAAAGGTTGCAATAAAGTTACACCACTCAGATTTGAAAGAAAATTATTTCTACAAGCTGGGTAAATTAAATCTAAGTTACGCCCATTGTTTAAAAACATTTCACTGACCTTGGTGAATTATTATTCTGAATGTTACCTTTGATACATGCCGGGGAGATTTATACATATTTATATATAATGAGAAATAATTATTTAAATACTTGTTAAATTTAAAACGTTAAAATATATATTATTTAAATTTTTACTAAGAGCCAACTATTTAATAATATTATGGCAAGGCTGAGATTATAAAAATGAATAAATTTCTTCTAATTTGATTACCTGTCTGTCTCCAATGTCAGACTGGAGTCCCTCCCATCTCTGATTAACTTCTGCAACGGGTTCCTTGACAACAGCTGCCTGCTCAACTGTGCAGTCCTTGGACATTTCCTCTGCCTGCTGGTTCAAGGCCTCCACAGCCACATGTTGTGGGTCCACTATGCCTTTGAAAACCTAAACAAGAAATAAATACATCAGTATACTGACATGCTGTGGTGGCTCAATTTGAAAAATATGTTTCTATTTCTTATTAAGAGTGAAGAGTGTCACTAGAAAATATTATTTTACAATAATCACCTTTGTCTTAATGTGAAAGTTATGATGAGGAAAAACTAAGAGCTAACCACTATATATATATTATATATATAATACTAATATTATATTTACATTCTGTATTGTAACAAGGGCAGTGCCGAGGCACAGTGCACAAATATAGAAGGAGCATATTTCAGGATGGAGTAACTTTAATTATTCCATAGGTTCATTTTTTAAATTCAGATCTGAAAACTATAACTAAAATTGAAAACATCCTTTTAAAAATATTTTTGTTTTGTTTCTGCCTGTCCCATTTGGTTTTTCAAATTGATTTCTTATCTACTGATAAATGAATTTTATATTTCAAATTTAGGTTAGGTAACAAAATGTTGGGGCGCCATATTCATGCTAGACACAGGGCACAAATATAGCTTGTTACAGGGCTGTCTCTAGGAATCAAGTGTAACCTTTCTGACCTTAATGTCATTCCACTGAGTCTTGATATCCTCAAACTCTGCAGCTACAGGCTCCATCTCTTTCAGCGTGTCCTCATGTGTCTGCAGCCAGACCAACATCTTCTGCAGTTCATCTTGGAAGGTTACTGCTTTGTCCAGAGCCTCGTCCAGATACTTGGATCTCTTCTCCACCTGTAATAGCAACAGTGTTAATCTTCTTGGCATATTTTCAGTGTCACATAAAAATAAATACAAACATTTCTTTACATTAAGAGCTCAGTAGCTTGACAAGTTTTTCATTGCTGATAAACAAACTTATCATTGTTTTTAAAAATCCATTTCTAATAATTGATAACATTAAATAATATATTTTAATACTGTGGTCACTCATTTATAATATGCAACATACAACAGGATATAGCTGAACTGTCATCAGTGTAGTAGTGAGACAATAGTGGTCAGATAATAGTGTAGTGGTCAGACTACAGTGTAGTGGTTAGACTATAGTTTAGTGGTCAGACTATTGTTTTGTGGTCAGATAATAGTGTGGTGGTCAGACTACAGTGAATTTACCTGATCACTGATGGTATTGAGCGTTGTCTCTGTGTCATCCAAGTTCTTTTTGACCTCTGGTCTTTCAGGTTCTCCAATAAGTGAAATGAGCTGGTCACCTGTCTGTTGGAGGTCCTCCAGGTCAGCCTGTGAGGCTATCAGGTCTTCCTTGAATGCCTGGTTAGTACAAGAAATTAGCATCGTGAACAAATGCTTTATAATGATTACAAAATTGGTATTTAGAATAAATTGTATAATTATTGTAATAAATTATTGCACTCGACAAACATTTAGAGCCATTTCATTACAATAATCATAAGAGATATTTAAAACTAATCACTCCAAATTATTAATCTTAATTTTTTTAACTATTCCCCCCATTCCATGAAAAGCCCAAATTCTCCCTTCTTTCTCCTAAAACTATTCCCCCCATTCCATGAAAAGCCCAAATTCCCCCTTCTTTCTCCTAAAACTATTCCCCCCATTCCATGAAAAGCCCAAATTCCCCCTTCTTTCTCCTAAAACTATTCCCCCCATTCCATGAAAAGCCCAAATTCACCCTTCTTTCTCCTAAAACTATTCCCCTTATTCCATGAAAAGCCCCACTCACCTCTAGTTCCTCCTGCTGTTCTCTGATAGATTCAGGCACCAAGGCAGGTTTCTCCTGACCACTCAGGTTGTCCTGCAGGTCCTTGATGTTGACAGACAAGTTGTTGAGGTCCTCCCAGAACTTCTCAGCCACCCCTAGAGTATCGTCAAGGGCTCTGCTACGGTCGTGGCAGTTGTTCTGGATGTCATTGTAGAGTCTGGTGAGCTCTTCAAGTTTCTGACGCACATCTGTAAAGATCGGTGAAACAATTTTATTTTTATATATCATAAAATTGATTCATATTGATACAATACATACTGAAACGAGTGTGTATTCCTTAATTACACACATCCTGGATATTTAAATAGTATATATATAGTTGGTCCTGATGCCTATTGTAAAGCTTTTCTAATTAAAGTCTAACTAAAGTCATCTGACATTGCTGATGAAATAAAGATGGTGATGAAAAGAGTGAGAAAATAAACGAAACTTAAAGTAACTGATAAGCAAGCTGATCTAACCTCGAACAGCTGGGTCTGTGATATCTCCAGCTTGTTTTAGTAGTTCATCAGCTGCCTCTTTCACAGACTCCAGGGCATTGGATCTCATCTGCATGTCCTCATCAACAGTCTACAATACATTTTAGACAAACAGGTCATCAATATTGTCAATGTTCTTGTGTTGTTTCAATTTTGATTCTATTTAAGTATCTAAAAATAAATACTTTTAATTATATGTAGTTTTACAAGATTTTTTCAAAATTACAGGTTCAGCCAACATCTATGTCACATTGCCAGCTTCCTGTCTTAACATCTATAAATATATATTTACTTAAACTCTAACCCTGACCATAGCATCCCCATTATTTGATAAGTGTATCAGAACCTCTTACCTTATTTTCATCAATCTGTTCTCTTATTTTATCTGGGTGTGCAGAAATGGGCTCAGCATTTTGTAAAGTTTCAGCTGTGGTGGTAAGGCTTTCCAACATGTCCTCAAGTTTATCAGTGAACTAGAAGACGGGGAAAAGTCATAGCAATATTATACAATTAAACACATTTGTGTTGTTCTTTGATGTTTTAAAAATACTGTTATTAACTTTATGATTGCAGCATTTGATAAGATCTCTCCTATGAAGAACAGATTTGTATGAGGTTATTACCAACTGATCATGTCCACTAGACAATGACTTAACTCTGGTGACTGAATGTACACTAAACAATGACACATCTGCCAACTGCAGCATCAATAGAGTTGGAACTCTCTCTGACGCGATTCCTGATGCCCTCCATCCTCTAGTCTGCCCCCCCCCCCCCCCCACAGACCATGACTTACATCTGCCGACTGCTGCATTGCTGCATCAATAGAGTTGGATCTCTCTCTGACCCCATTCCTGATGCCCTCCACCCTCTTGTTGTCATCATCCAGCTTGGTCTGCACCTCCTCTGCCGCATCAGGGCTAATAAGCTGAACAAGAGCCGAGCCTGTCTTGTTGAGTCTGTCAATCACTGGCTTGTGGTCAACGACATCTTGTTTTAGAGCCTGGAAACATAAAAAAAGTGTTTGGTTTATTCTTTAGGATACAGCATTTTTATATTTTGTACATGAAGGAAAATGGGGGATAAGTACAAACTTCACCAGACATCTGCAAACGGACAAGTTGTTAAAGAAATATATTTAAAAAAAATGTAATTCTCTACTTTATACCTATCCCTTCTTTATCTTTATACCTATCCCTTAGTTTATCTTCACACCTATCCATTCTTTATCTTTATACCTGTCCCATCTTTATCTTTATAACTATGCCTTCATCTTTAAATTTGTAGAATGAAAGTGAAAAACAGGTAGGTGTGTCCACTCAGTCCAAAGCTTACAGGTTGAACTTGGTCAAAGGCTAAAAGGTATCATTCTGACATCACTACTCACACAAAACTAAAAGTAAAAGATTTGGAAGAAAAGATGGAGCCTCCCTATCACTCCCTGATACCAACAAGGCACGCAGTTTACCTTAATAGATTCCTGTTGTTTCTTGACCTGGTTAGCGTCTACAGTCATCACCTCCAGTTCAGCCAGGGTGGGCTCGACCTCTGCCAGCCACGTGACCAGGTCTTCATGTGTTTCCTGGAACGATTTGGCCAGAGGCAGGGCTTGCTCCAGCTCGCTCAGCCTCTCGGCAACGGAGGAGCTCAGGGCGTCAGACTTGTTTCTCAGGTGTTGGATCTTTTCTCTGATCACGCCTTCATCTTCAAGACTGGAGTCTCTCAGGAACTTCTTGCCTGAAGTAATGGCATCTCTTGCTTTGACCTTTTGGTTAGCCACTTCTTCATTGAATGCCTGAAATAACAAGGAGTTTGTCTTAGCACTTTAGTTGGTCTAATGATAAGAATCAAGTGTTACCTGTTTGAAGAAATGTGGAATACCAGTATTTATATCACAGAACTATGGGGAGGAGCGGTTGGGGGGTGGGGGTCTGCGTTCAGGTTGAAGCAATCAGAAATAGACAAGGGGTCAGGAAAAATTTTTTTGAGTGTATTTTCTTCTTCAGGTTTTCCCTCTGCCATGTGCACATTTCTTATTTATATAACATCAGAGTTTTACCTTTGTCTCAGCGAGCTGCTGCTGTAACTCTTTTGGATGAGATGGGATGGATGGCATGCTCTGGAGGGTTTCCTCCCCTTGGTCGAACCATTCCAGGAGATCATCCAGTTCATTGATGCACTGAAAATAAATTTTAATAATTAAAGTTAATGTCATATTTTCAACTATGTTAATTAAAAATAATTTCAAGCCAATATTTGTCCAAAGCATGACAAGAATATCTGATATATTCTGAAATATACGTCAACAGTACAAACAAATTTCCGTGTCTTTTATATGAGCTCAGAATTAAACTATTGAGTGGGCGTGTGTTTTCTTGTACCTCCAGTGACTTCTCATGCGACTTCTTGACTTTCTCAGCTCTCTTCTCAATCTGCTGCTTGAGGGCCTCGTATCTCTTATTGTCCTTGTTGATAAGATCCTCCACATGGAGTCCGGCATCTCCTGGGGCCACCTCGGCAAGCTCAACACCTTCATTGTTCAGGACTTCAAGGTACGGCTGGATAGCCTCCAGTTGGTCCAGCAGACCCTGTTTAGTGAGATCATGCCAATGACTATAAAACTAAAGACAAAGACATGAAATCCACAGAACAAAGCTCGATTTTTCTAAATGGTCGATGAACTAATGGTAAGGCACTTCAAAATTAAGGTAATCCATTATTAGATTATAATTAAAAAAATCAATATTATTCCTTGTGAAAATAAATGCACAGAAAAATACTTTTTGACAACATTGTAAATTAGTTAATTTGAAACGAAGACATTGCTTTATCTATGACAAGTAATGCTGGCATCCTTCAAACCAAAAAGCAGCAGGAAACAACCTACTCCATTTACTTTAAAGAAAGACCCAGCCTGAACTGACCTGAACTTCCTCTTCAGCATCAACTCCCGTTTCCTTCCCCCGGAGCTCAGGCTCCACCTTGGCCGCCCATTCAATGAACTTCTCATGGGCCTCCTGGAAACGTTGGGCCAGCGGGAGAGCTTCTTCCATCTGCTCCAGCGAGTCGTCCACTTTGTTCTTCAGGTCGCTGAACTGTTTTTGGATCTCGTCAATCTTTATCTGGACTATAACAACGTCCTCTCCTGAAACGGCCAGTGAATTAACATTAGGCTTTGAGACATTAATCTTGATCACAATGCAGTGATGAAGATGACATACTCATTTGATAGGATCATTCCTATATTGGATATCAATACTCATCAAATTCATCAAGCATGTTCAGACAGATCAAGAGTGTACTCACCTTTACAGAAGTCTTGCAGCTGTTTTCCCAGTGTGGCTAGTTCTCTAGCAGGACCTTCATGGTTGGCAATTTCTTCTTGCAAGTGCTGAAACAAAAACATCAATGAATTATACGCCACATCCATATTTAGAGTTAGAGCAATGAGTGCATCTACAAAGTACAGAGATGGCCATGTTTTACATTTAGTGACCAATCATATGACTGTTACGTTGTCATGTTATTCAGTGCTTGAACAAAAATTTATTAAGTACAACAATAGTTTAGAAGATTATTTCACATGTTAATGTTGTAACCCTCTAGATCACTTAGGACAAATGATGTCCCACTGTAACTCATCATAAACCCTCTATATCACTTAGGACAAATGACGTCTCACTGTATCTCATCATAGTAATGTTAATGTATTGATTCCTATTCTTTCTTTATATTACCAGCACACATGAATTTCTAAAACATTCGTTTAAGGTTAAGTGGTCACAGAAATGTGTTTTATCATTTGGTAAGTGGTCAAAGAAATGTGTTTTACCAGTAATATTTACAAAGACAAGTTACCTTGAGATCTTGAATTAATCGCTCTATCCCGCCTGCATCTGGTGACTTGGGCTCAAGGGAGGCAAACTTCTTATTGCTCACATCCAACCAAACAGCAAGAGGCTCATGGATATCTTGAAACTGTTTGGACAGACTGGCCATTTCCTCAATGATCTTCATCCTCTCTGTTGCATTGCTGGTCATGGCTGACCAACGTTTCTCCAGAGACTTAAGCTCACCTTCCATTTTCTTGCGCTCTGCTCCATCAAAACCAGACAGAAGCTGTTTGCCTGTCTCTTGAACTGAGGCAACACTTGGCGCTCTATCTTCTATCATTTTCTGTAAAAGCTGTAAAGAAATTTTAGAACAAAACATGATAGATGCAATGCTTGCAAGTACAATTGGTAAGGAAAGACATATTTTTTGTTATTGTAACTTAGTCATAAAGTCAGTGAGTAAAAACAAACGTGAATAAAAAAGATGTATAAGATATTCTACCTTTTGTTCCTGTAGCTGAGCCTTCACCACTCTGAACTCTGGTGAAGCTGGTTTCTGATTGGCTATTGTCTCCTCAGTCTCAGATAGCCAGGTGAGCAATGATGCCAGAGCTTCCTTGAACTTGCCTGATTGGAGCAATGCTTTGTCCAGATTTCTCTCCCTTTCTGACACCTTTTAAAATAATTCAAGTTTATGAATTAGAAACAAAATCCAATGAACATATAAAAAAACCAACCCACACAACTATAGAGCACTAACAAATTTTTCCCATTATGCAATAAAAATAAAATAAAAAGTAAGCTTTTTTGTTGTTCACTTGTAATTGTTTAGAAATAATACCCACTAAAATAAAATAATATTTTGTCAATTTCTGTGTGTAGAACTTTCCTCAGTAAATGTAACCAAAAATAATAATTAATCTCCATAAGGAATGAATGGTAAATACAATTCTTGTATATATAAACATATCTGTTAGGTAAAGGGCAATATTGACAATAAGGAGTGTATATTTGAAATTGCTTCTTTGTTACCTTCTCACTGAGCTCAGACCATCTTCCTTGTAGAGCCTCCAAGTCATCATCCAGTGCTCCTGTATTGACACCAGATGGCAGAGACTGGATCAGGCTCTGGATTTCAGTGTTAAGAGTGTCCAGTTCTTTTTGAAGAGTATCCACTTTACTCTTGTGGAAATTCTGAAGAAAAAACCCCCCCCACAAATAATCAGATGCATTTGTGAGAGTTCTCATTGGGAAAGTTTTTTTTAACATATTTCCTGTTTGACATTCGAGTTATGAATTTATTTTATAAAAATGCACAAGAATAACAACAGATATCATCTGATCCCATTTACTACTCTTGTACTTCTCCAATTGTAATTTGCTCCAATTGTAATTTGCAAGTGAAGACTTCTGCAAATGCTGTAGCTTTTTCCTCTAACCAAAATTCGTTTTTAACTTCCTGAATTAATACAATGGTATAAACAAGACGCTAACATGTGGGCTTCTAAGATGACAGCATTAATGAGTTACTAATGTGTGGGCCTCTAAAGAATACAGCCCCTAATATGTGGGTCTCTAAGAATACTGAATTAATAGGCCCCTAATATGTACATCTCTAAGTTGACAGCATTAAAAGGCCCCCAATATGTGGGCCTCTAAAAATGACCTAAGTTCATCATCCGTACCAGCAGCCACTTGGGCATGAGCTCTTCAGCCTGATAAACAAAGTTTAATACCATTAGTGTTGTTTCATTAAAAAAAGTATTCCAAAGTTTAGAAAGACTGACCTTCAGTTCTGCTTGTTGGTCCTTGATCTGGTTAGCATCACTGCCCACAGGTTTCATGGAGTCGATCGTCTTCACCGCACCGTCCACCTTCTTACGCAGGGCTTTGAGAGTTTCATTGACTTCCTTGACCTTGTCTAGGTTGCTCTCTATCTCTGCCTGCCGCTGGTCAGCCTTGTCTCTGAGACGATCCCTTTGGGTCAGAACTGCTTCCACCTGAGACAATGAAGTTGAAAATATTTATTGCAAACATACATTCATTGTGGTGGGACACAATGTGTTTTGACATTCTGTGTTGTGAAAGTGGGACAGACCTTTCTCAGTAGCAATAAAATAAAGTTGTCATCAGACAACAAGATTCTTAATAAAACATTCAACTTGACCCTTGCCCTCACCTCCACTCAGAAGTCAATTTTAAAACTATTCATTAAAGGTTAAGATTGATCAGTGTCTACCAAAAGTGTCTCTTAAGAGTCAATAATACAATAATACTGGGCAAAAAACAGCACCTGTTCAACTCAAGAACTCTAGTTTTCGATCAAGTTTTATGCAACACATTGTTAAATATTAATATATCAAAATGTTCACTGAAGACAGTTCCACCATTAATATCTCCAACTGTTCACTCAAGACACAGTTCCACCATTAATATCTCCAACTGTTCACTCAAGACACAGTTCCACCATTAATATCTCCAACTGTTCACTCAAGACACTGTTTCACCATTAATATCTCCAACTGTTCACTCAAGACACAGTTCCACCATTAATATCTCCAACTGTTCACTCACCCAGTTAGGCCTCACGGTAACCATTGGTTCATAGATATGAAAAACACATCTTTATAGCACTACAACAATGCATTACCTGGTTGTTGAGCTGATCAGGGTCAGAAACAAAGCCAGCCAGCTGTAGGTCTCTGGCTTGCTCCTTCAGGTCAGCAATGGGCTCTGTTTTATTGGACAAGTCGGTCTGGAACGTCTGCTCGAATGAAAAAAACAAACAAACGTGAACGGTGCCAAACATAATCACATATTGTTGTATTCGAAACAAGTGTTTGAGATTGACAGTCACTAAAAAATATGTAGGAGCTTCATATACCTTCATTTCAGCCAACTGTCCATCCAACTCATCTTCATCTCTAGAGACAGGCCCAAACTTGGAAAGCTCATTATCAAGATCTGATAGCTCTGATGCAACCTTTTTCATCATGTCCTGGGGATAAAGTCATCAGTTAAATATATCAGTTCTGGCAACATTCATCGGTTAAGTATATCAGTTCTGGCAAAATTCATTAGTTAAATATATAGGTTCTGGCAAAATTCATCAGTTAAACATATATATTCTGGCAAAATTCATCAGTTAAATATATCAGATCTGGCAAAATTCATAAATTAAATATATCAATTCTGGCAACATTCATCGGTTAAATATATGGGTTCTGGCAAAATTCATCAGTTAAATATATCAGATCTGGCAAAATTCATAAATTAAATATATCAATTCTGGCAACATTCATCGGTTAAATATATGGGTTCTGGCAAAATTCATCAGTTAAATATCAGTTCTGGCAACATAAAATTTATTAAAAAGGGATCAAAATGTGTGGCTATTATAGTTCAGACCATTTCAGGCACTGCATTGTTAGTATCCTTACCTGGAATTGACCAACTATGGAAGATCCTGTCTCCATATTAGAAAGTAATTCTCCTATTTCATTTTCCAGCTGAGCATGTCTTTCTTTGAGAGCCGTCAGTGCGTCCTGTAGGTTACTTGGGTCAACACCATCATCTTGGTCCAGGCCATCAACAAGTCCATCTACATAGTCCAGGTTGGACTGCAGGCTTACAATGTCCTCTTGGAGGGCCTGTTTAAGAATTCAATGAATACAAACAACTTGGCACCAAATGTGTTATAAGGTCTCGTTGGATATTTTATTATAGTTAATAGTTTAAGCTTCCTTTACATCCCTGTAACTTAGATCGACTTTTAGCACGTATTTGTCTCCTGCTGTAACATTATGCTAAAAAGAAACAGTGTTATGTGTGGGGCCATAAGAACCAACTTCATTTGGAAAAGGCTCTCCTTCAAAATTACCTTTACGTTACTTGTGTTGTATTATGTACACTACCTTGATTTTGTCAATATGTTTGGGGTCCCTGGCTGCAGTGCCCATGTCCATGTGAGCTGCCAGTTTGTCCTCCCATCTGGTCAAGGTGTGTCGAGTGTCTGACATGTTGTCTTCAATCTCTGCCAGGCGGCCTTGGAGATCTTCCAAGTTTTGGGATTTTTCACTCAAACCTGAGAAACAATTCATTTTGAAGATGAAAGGTATGGACAAACCGAATCCACTACAAACCAGAACTATTTAGACATTCACTAAAACCTAACAGCTGTGTCTTAGTCAATTATTGTTGCAATAGCTTCCTTTAGAGTTGCTATTAAAAAAAAAAACATACAAGAGGAGTTGTTTTTTTTATCCCAAAGCCTCATTAATTTCTCCTCTTGATCCAACCCCAGCCCATGACTTAATGACATCAGCTGACCTGCACTAATGGCCTCCCATCTTTTGTTGACTTCATTCCTCTGTCCTTTCAGGTCGCCCTGAGGATCCTCAATTGTTTCTAGCAGGGCATCAGCCTCTCTGTTGAAGTTGTCGTAATCATGGGACTTCTTCAAGAACTCATTTTGTAGAGCCTGGAGAACAAAAACCACCAAGGAATGGTTTTAAAAACTCAGTTTCCATATTGAAGGAATATTCCAATAAATCCCTTGTTTACCACACCTCTACAATCAACAATTGAGTAACAAATGTGTTGAGTTTATTTTTTACAAAATATAAGCACACCTACGTTGTCTTTAGTAATAGAACTCAATAAAACAAAAAAAAAGCCCATTTAAACCAAAGATTGAACAGAATTTTTGCCTGACCTACAGGAAGCAGTATTACAATAATTTATTACTTTACTTAAATGTGGAATTTATAAGATCAAATGAGAAGGCACCAGCACATCATCTTAATTTTAAATCAATATTCTTATGAATATAAATAGATTAAATGTGGCCATTACCTGCAACTACCATATTTTCCAGTTAATGCATATTGGCTGTGTTGCTTAGGGTTGAAATGGCTAGAAAGACTTTGACTTGGTTGCTTGTAATTAGTTTTTGTAGTGTTGCGTTTGTTTTAAATGTGGTAAATAAAATATTTTTTTTTTTTTTTACTTTGTACCGACTTTGTATCGCACTTTGAGCCTTTGGGGTTGAAGCGTGTTTTTGAAATAAACTTTATTATTAGTATTATTAATCCCTTCATCTTGGCCACAACACTGGCTTTCTCATAACTCTCAGTCTTACCTGCAATTCCTTCATCTTGGCCACAACACTGGCTTTCTCATAACTCTCAGGGATCATCTTCTTGAGTTTTTCCTCGGCTGTTCCAAGCCACCAGGACAGTTTCTCCAAGTTTTGTTGGAACGCGTGTGCATGAACGGCGGCCGAGCTTATCTTGTCATCTCTTTCATGGACCACTTCAATGAGCTCTCCGAGTTCAGATTCCAGGCGGCCCAGTGTATCTTTGATGGCAATGGTTTCTGTCGTAGGGGATGCCTCGTGGATGAATTTGTGACCTTTGTCCAGGAGACTGCGGATTTCTTGCTCTTTCAGATTGAGTTCTTGTTTGATGGTCTATCATGAAAATTGGGATGGTTGAATATTCTAATGTTCCAAAAAAATGCCTAACATATCAGGATTTATTTATTTCAAAACCAGCACTTCCCAAACTTTACTTTTCCGTAACCATTTTCTTTTTTTCTTTCAGTAACCTGGTGTTTTGATTTCGGGGCCCTGACCCGGCATTTGGGAAACACTGTTATAAACCTCAAACTGACACATCAAAATGTAATCAGTACCATAAATTTCAAGGACAACATCATATGTTTATTTCATGTTTTAGAAAATGAGAATAATTGAGTTTTAAAAAAATCTAATGTGGCAATAGTCCAAAACTCTTTAGCAACAAACACAAATCTCCATTTCACATATAACAAAATTAATTTTTAAAAAAAAAAAACACCCCCCCCCCCCCCCCCCCCCCACAATTTCTTTGCAATTGCTAACAAACATAACAATGACCTTGTTTTCCATCGCCTGTTTCTGTATTAGGTCAGGGTCGCTAGTAAGGCCAGGCGAGTCCATTACAATACCAGACGTGGTTTGGATCCATTGCAACATCTGTTGACAGTTGGCCTTGAACTCTTCACCTTGCTTAGAGGCTTCATCAATAGCATCAGCTCTAGCCTCTACAATCAGATAAGACAAATAGCCCAGTATGAGATTAAATAAGGCTACTGTAAGTAAGTCTATGTAAGTATAATGCTGCTTTAAGCATAGTGTTATTATAAGTATAGTATACATTACTGAAACACTGCTCTAGATGGTCATTTAAAAAAAAAAAGATTACCTGAATTTCCTATAATTTTGCATTCACAGAATATAAAAATAATAAAAAGGTATAATTTTCAACATCAGAGGCTTAATTAATGGGGGAGTGAGGATTGGGGGTATGTGGCTTGGGGGTGTGGGGCTTGGGGGTGTGGGGCTTGGGGTATGGGGCTTGGGGGTGTGTGGCTTGGGGTATACATCTTGGGGGTGTGCGGCTTGGGGTATGCAGCTTGGGGGTGTGCGGCCTGGGGTAAGTGGCTTAGGGTATGTGGCTTGAGGGTGTGAGGCTTAGGGAATGTTGATTGGGGGTTTGCGGCTTGGGATATGTGGCTTTGGGGTATGCATCTTGGGGGTTTGCGGCTTGGGGGTGTGCGGCTTGGGGGTGTGCGGCTTGGGGGTGTGTGGCTAGGGGTATGTGGCATGGGGGTATGCGGCTTGGTGGTATGCGGCTTGGGAGTATGTGTGGCTTAGAGGTATGTGGCTTGGAGGTATGTGGCTTGGGGGAGTGTGGCTTGGGGGTATGTGGCTTGGGGGTATGTGGCTTGGGGTATGTGGCTTGGGGTATGTGACTTGGGGCTGTGTGGCTTGGGAGTAGACGTTGAATTTAGAGTTCGTTTATTAAACTTGTTTGGTAACACAGTCAGAGAAATTTCCCCCTTTAAGATTCCTTAGGTCCCTCTTGGTCAAGGGTGCATGTAATATCTCTATCAAGCCAGTGAGCCACACATTGCCCAATTGAAAATTTCACCACAGTTCATAAAAACAAAGATACAATGATGAAAGGTGAAATCTGTCCTATTATGATAGCTTCTCTCACCTAGTTTCTTCATAGTGTCATTGATGTCTTTGTCCAGAGCTGTCATCTTGGTTCTCAAGTCTGACTTTGTGGCTGGGTCCTTGGCACTGTCACACAATTGCTTGCACAAGTCTTTGGCTTTGCTAATCTGAGGTAGTTTATTTCTCATTTCTTCTTCAAGCTCCTGATGAAGGAAAATGAACTCCTCATTTAATGGTTCTAATTAATGTAAATCACTAAAATTCAGTAACTTAAAATCTTGTTTGGTTCTACTACTACCATGTTATTATGTTCACACAGATGACACAGACAGTGCCATGTACAATTCCAAAACTGACCTGCAGTTCTTCCTTTTGAACTTTTTGTTTGTCAGGCTGGGAGCTGACCCTAGGGAGGGCGTCCAGTCTGTCACTGAAGTCTCCGAGCCAGTTGGCCAGGTCTCTGGTCACGGTTGAGAACTCCCCGCTGAGTCCCCGGATTGAGTCGATGCTCTTCTCTCTCTCTTGCAAGCGGGCTGTTGAGAAATTGGACTCGGTTATAAGGTAGATAAAGTTCTATCAGTTAGAATGTATTGGATGACCCGCCAATGTTATGCAGGTAGATTTGTTAGACAAGTTGATGACCAACTAATCATAATGAATACATCTTGACAATGAAGACATTTTTGTAGGTACCTCACAGCCCAAGACAAGGGGAGGAAATAAATCAACTACATCAATTAATATTTGGTAGCACAATGCCAAGTTGGTCTAAATAAGGATGTGAGTTATTTATCATATTGGTGGGCTTGAGAGCCTAGGTGGTCTGTTGGCCAGATAGCCTATGTGATCTGTTGGCCAGTTAGCCTAGGTGGTCTATTGGCCAGTTAGCCTAGGTAATATATTGGCCAGTTAGCCTAGGTGGTCTGTTGGCCAGTTAGCCTAGGTCATCTGTTGGCCAGTTAGCTTAGGTGATCTGTTGGCCAGTTAGCCTAGGTGGTCTGTTGGCCAGTTAGCCTAGGTGGTCTATTGGCCAGATAGCCTAGGTGGTCTGTTGGCCAGTTAGCCTAGGTGGTCTATTGGCCAGATAGCCTAGGTGGTCTATTGGCCAGATAGCCTAGGTGATCTGTTGGCCAGTTAGCCTAGGTGGTCTATTGGCCAGTTAGCCTAGGTGGTCTATTGGCCAGTTAGACTAAGAGGTCTGTTGGCCAGTTAGCCTAGGTGGTCTATTGGCCAGTTATCCTAGGTAATATATTGGTGAGTTAGCCTAGGTAATATATTGGCCAGTTAGCCTAGGCAATATATTGGCCAGTTAGCCTAGGTAATATATTGGCCAGTTAGCCTAGGTAATATATTGGCCAGTTAGCCTAGGTAATTTATTGGCCAGTTAGCCTAGGTAATATATTGGCCAGAAAGCATAGGTGATCTATTGTCCAGATAGCCCAGGGATAAAAGTATGTAAAAAATTATTTCTTTTTTTATTGAAATATCTTTACTTGCTGATTGTATAAGCATTATGACTAAAACAACTCTACAGAGTTTATTACCATAAAAATTGAATATAGTAAATAACTTATGAATAACTGATCAGTTGATTTGGCATGCAAGTCAACAAGCACTATATCTAGACCTACACAAACTCATTAAATCACCTTGCAGTTTGTTCCATGACTTGCTTACAGCATCCATACGTTTAGAGATGGCCGAGCCATCAGCTGAGTTGGTATCGCACCAGTCCATGATGGAGTGACCAGAGTTGACAAACTGTTCGTAGATGGGCTCCTGGGTGGCAAACTCTTCCTTCAAAACCTGCAATACATGTTAACACTATAACAACAAATCTCAACAAATCTCTAAGTGTTGACTGCATGTAAATAATATATTTTTTAAAATTGATTAAGGACTTGTTATATTATTCACGGACATCCAACGCCCAGTTGTTCAGATTTGAAGCGGGGAGGTGACTGACCTTGACCTGTTCCATTTGACTTTTCAGAAGTGAAGGCTCCATGGCCACAGGCCCAAGCACATCCAGAAGTTTCTCTTTCTGGCCAAACCATCTGGTCAGCTGGTCTTCATGTTCACGGAAATCCCTTAAATCCGTGACGGCGTCCTCAAGACTTTTACGTCTCTCTTCAGACATAGCCCTTAGTCCGTGCCACTTGTCATCTGAATGAAGCATGCAACAAAATTGATACCAAGATACTTTAAGAGCAAGTTAAAAATAGTGTCAGTTACCCTCCAGCTAGCAGACAACCCTTTGTTAATTGACAGAACAAGGCATTTGCTTCCCCTGTGGAGTCTCTTCTAGTTAACCCAGCAACATTATGACTATCAATTGGGATCTATTTTTAAACCAAACTCTTGTTGACATGAACACTTGAACACTTTAGCCAGTATCACTTGATTGATTTATTGCCTTAGATCTTATATTACACTTTGGAAGAATATTTCAAATATTTGGACAGCGTAGCTTGAATTTGGGAGTTTAAACAAATTAGGGCTTCAAAATTAGTTCATTTGTGATGCCTGTGAAAATGCATTTACCAACGTAGAATTGTTCTATCAATTAATGAGTAGCTAGACTTACCTAAATCTCCAAGCTGTGCCTGTAATGTATCAAGACCGGCCACACCAGGTCTGGACTTCAACAGTTCTTGGGCTTTTTTACGGATGTCCTCAACAAGGCCTTCTTTACCCAGCAGCTCACGGTGAAATTCCTGGAATAAAAAAAGATCTCACTTATCATAACATGACATTTTTAAATGTACCAATATGAAAAAAAATTGGGTGGTGGAATATGAGAGTCATTGTTTTTTTACTCTGATTAATTGCCAAAGTGTCCTCGTTTTATAGCCATTTTAATTGTTTCTATAGTATAGTAGTTACTATCCTAGTGTCTCCTTTTTATTTTACTTAGTTTACATGTTTTTAATAATTGTAAAGCGCTTAGAGCTTTAAGGTAAGCGCTATATAAAAATGCCTAAATAAATAAATTGGACACAAGCAATTTGTGTAAATAAAACAATATATATTCAGGTTTAACAATGATTTTACAAAATACAAAAGTAAACATTTCGGCAAATGCCTTCATCAGTACAAAAAACAAAACATTAAAATAATTTTAAATTAAATTTACATAAAATATATTTACATGTATCCTACCTAAAAAAAATAGAAAAGAATAAGAGTGGGGGCAAACACTCTTATAATTAGTTAATTCTTTGACTCTGGGTTTTTAATAAATCTCGATAGAAAAGTGAAAATTTAATGAGAAAACTTAATAGGAGCAGAGCCTTTAATGGAACAACAAAACTCAATCATCCATTGCCATCATAAAATATATCATAGCTACAAGGAGATGGAACAAAAAAAAACAACAACTTTCAATTGGTTAGAAAGGTCACATTTCTATGTTACTTCTACATGTTTCACCAAACATACAAAACTCCCACAAACCTCATGTTCCTTGAGTTTCTTCTTGGCTGCCTTCTCACTGGCAGGTATGCCTCCTGTACCAGACTCACTCATCTGGCTGTCCTTGTCATCGAGCCATGTGAGCACATCTTGCATGTCTTGGAGGAATGTCTTGATGGAGCCCAGGACACTCTGTAGTTCCTGCTGGCGCTCCATCAGTCTCTCCCCAACTATCTCATAACGTTGGTTGATATCCAGGAGCTGCTGTTGGGTTTCTGATAAATCTGGTGGATGTTGGCAATTTAATGACAAATCAGATGGATGTTGGTAAGTTAATGTCAAGTCTGGTTGATGTTGGTAAGTTAATGACAAGTCTGGTGGAAGTAGGTAAGACAATAAGTCTGGTGGATGTTCGTATGGTAATGACAAGTCTGGTGGATGTAGGTAAGACAATAAGTCTGGTGGATGTTGGTAAGACAATAAGTCTGGTGGATGTTGGTAAGGTAAAAAAATAGACTAGATATTGGTGATGCTGGGATCATTTAATCAGACTCTGACACCTACTTGATGAGCACCCATTTCAATGTGATACAAACATATACTCCAGTGCACTTAAAATTCACCATTACATGTCTCCTGTATTATTACTTAAGTAATGATTAGATGCAAAGCTTAACATCATTACAGCAGATTGCACACAGAGATTTAAACAATTCAATCATTGAAATTTTTAAATAATAAATTTGCATTCTTAAGAAACAAGATCTGAGAACTTCTTTACACTTTCTGGATTACACAAAAATAGTAACTGTTAATATCAGGTTAGTAATGCATGTCATTTTTTAATAGAATTAAAAGCAAATAATTTAGCAATGTCCATTAAAAAAAATTATTATATAGCATTTTTGTGTTTAGGTAAGCACTAAAGGTGAGAGATAAAAAAAAATAGCTAAAAATTAATTTTAAAAAATATAAAAAAGTCCCCAGGGAATGACGTTTATTTAAAATTGATTTTGAGTTGATTAAATGGATCTGTCTGCCTTTCAAATGAAGCTTAATTCACAGCAGATAACATTAAAAGAGAGGCAAGTTATGCACTGATGAGGATATCACAAAAGTCAATAAAACCCAGGGGCAGGTCTGTATTAAGGTAAATAAAATTATTAATTGTAAGAAAATTTTCAAAAGTTTTGATACAGATTTCAGGGAAATGCTAGCAATATCTGAAAACATTATTATATAAAACTTACAAGGAAGAAATACTTGTGATTTATGGTAACATATTCTACAACCCTTTGGGTATAAGGGTGGACAGAGGGGTGATCAAGATACAGCTATGTAACAATAATTCAAGAATGCATAATGACACGGAGCCTGTTTCTTCCTGATGGTGTCTTTAAAAAAACAACAACCCAACTTAAATGAAATAAATTCCATTTGGTTGACAATTCTGAAAACTTATGAAATCAAATCAATGTTTGTTTTTAAACACGTTTTCTTGAAACATCAGCCCTTTAAAGGAGAAGAGACCCAAAAAGTAATTTAAAAAATAATACGATTTTAAAAAAAAAAAGCTTCGGCCACAATAAATAAAAAAATACAGTCTTTGTTTCCCCTGTTTCATGGGTTAAGGAAGGCAAAAATTTAAACTTCAAAAAAAATTGTCAATCAGGTTGAGATTTATTGAAATTATGCAATCTTTCTTTTTTTTTTTACATGTCAAGGCTCTTGAAATATAACAGAAGACAGAAAAAGTTGTTTGGCATGCAGTCTTACCATCCAACAGTATGTTCTCTGATGAGCTCTTTCTGCTGCTTACACCACTGGACTCACTTGACATGGAAGTTTTCAGAGCAGAAGGGGACAAGGGAAATGTTGGGGAGGGAGTGCGCAGGCGGGGAGACATCAGTCCTGGGATTCGACGGGTGCCTAGAAAGTGCAAACATACAAGAAGGGGAAGGGGGAACTAAGAGAATGAGAAAAACTAAAATGAACTAAGCATTTGGTCTACTACATCTGTGTAGCCAAGGGAACACTTCAGTCTATTAAAAAAAAAATAGAGGAACTCATGACAAAAACAGATTGAACTCTGAAGCTGAGCTGTCTAAGAAGATTGCCATCTATAAAAAGAAAACAGCTTAACTGATAATAATAATCAATAATAGAGTTGTTTCTTTTCACTTTTAGGTATAAAAGTTTCAAAGTTTTTAGAGGAAAGTGAAAGCAATTTTTACAGAGTAACTAAATCTAATTCATGTCAACATAGCAAACATCTGCCATGAGAAGGCACTAACTAATGGAATAGTTATGTTTCTCTTAAGCACACTCTTACATAAAGCATTAACAAGAAGCTCTTGTTATGAATTTAGGTCATCTGGTTATCTAATGTAATTAAAATAAAACTTATTTATCAAGTTAAAGGTTTAACGTCTTAATGTGAGTTTAAGTGTGCAAAAAAGTTAAGAGCTTAAAATAAATAATGAAAAAAATTTAGATTATTTTGATCATTTCAATTTTTTTTTTTTAAAATGGGTTTAGATAAAATATATTATATTAGATATTTATAAAACAAAAATGGATAGAGATTATATTATTAGATATTTAAAAAAAAAAGTTAAAATACAAGAAAACCATGGAACTAATAGATTAAATGATGTTAAAGAAAATAGAAATAACAGAAAAGACTTACGACCCAGCCGTCTAATTGGGCTCAGTGGACGATCTCCTGAGCTGGTCATGGCATCTAAAGCATTACCAAGGTCATTGATTTCATCCACTTTGGGCCCCTGGTCCTCATATTCCTCCAGCATAGGCTGCAAATTTAACAATCACACATTAGGTCATATTAGAATTATAATATCACATTAGTAAAAATGACTTTTTTGATCCGATGCCCCATTCATATTCCTAAGTCTCCTTAGCTCAAACTTGAGAGAATATATTCTCACTGTAAATACATTTTAAGTTAATGAACTTACTGAAGACCTATAATTTACGATCACCTTAATTAATATCCCTTCCAACACTCACTTGCAGTTCAGCTATCTGTTTCTCCACTATGTCCACTTCAATGGCGGCTGGCTCAAATTCATCCAGTCTGGCCTCCATCTGAGCAAGCCACAGCAGCATTAGAGTCTTGGCAGACTCAAACTCATTCCCTTGCTTCTCTCTCTCGGCAATGTCGGCCTGCTTCTCTCCGAGAGCTGCATCAAGTTCGGCCACGGTCCTCTGAAGGTCTACCACGGCGGTGTTTATCGAAGCCGGGCTCCCCGTCCGGGGATCTTCCTTAAGTTCTTTGGCGACGGCTTTCAGCTCAGCGATCTCCTTTTCTTTCCTCTGTTTTTCTGTGGCGATGACTTCTAGGTGTCGAGAAGCTTCATCAATGGACATGGAGTTGAGATCGCTGGAGTGCAGGTCGTCAATCTTAGACTGCAGCCAAGAATGGGTCGTGTCCAGTTTATCATGGAAGTCACCGAGCTTTCCACCAATCTCCTTGAGGGCCTCGGCTCTCTGCTCACTTGATCCACTGACATTCCTGAATCTCTCTTCAATGTCCGCCAGTTGCTGCTCCAGGGCCCTGGCCATGTGGAGGTCCCCAGACTTGATCAGGTCTTTGGTGGCTTGTCTCACAGACTCAACAATATTTCCATGACTGAAAGAGAAATTATAAGTTGTTTTTTTTCATTTTACTTCCCATGTTCTAAAATTTTGACAGCATCAAATAACTATTTCTATGTCTAGTTACAGTATAGCATGTTCATCTTATTTAGGCTAGTTACAGTATAGCATGTTCATCTTATTTAGGCTAGTTACAGTATAGCATGTTCATCTTATTTAGGCTAGTTACAGTATAGCATGTTCATCTTATTTAGGCTAGTTACAGTATAGCATGTTCATCTTATTTAGGCTAGTTACAGTATAGCATGTTCATCTTATTTAGGCTAGTTACAGTATAGCATGTTCATCTTATTTAGGCTAGTTACAGTATAGCATGTTCATCTTATTTAGGCTTTACGTTATTTCAGTAAAATGAGAAGGACTTTTTGGCACACAAATTAGTTTCCTAAAGTACTGATATGTTAAAGAATTTTGTGTGATTTATTCATGCTTTCCCCTTTAAAATCCAGTCACACCTAACCAAAAGATGAATAAATAAACATGGAAATGAATGATATTTTTCATTAGTTTTAACTACAATGTAAGAATATATCAATTAGAATGTCACTTGGAACATACTTATCAATATCTGCTGTAATAAACTTGAACTGCTGCTGTTGTTCAGCAATTAACGGCTGCTCCAGACTGATCAGCTGCTGAGTGGCCAGAGCTGTCTGGGCGGTGTCCAGCCATGACTGAAGTTCCGTGATGGCCCCCTGGACATCTTGGGACTGTGTAATGGTGGCTTGAAGCAGTTTGGCCTGGGCGCTGACAGCCTCATTGACATTAGCGTATCTCTCGTCAATTTCTTTAACGTCTTTCTCAAGTTTCTGAACCTAAGGATGATGGTGTTCATTTCAGGCCAATAAGGCTAAGTGTTCAGCTCTACACAAGTCTCCACTTACATTACATGGAAATATACATTTTTAATGTTTATGTCTCATCTCTTCCCCCCTATCCCCTTTACTAATTATAACAGTTTCAAATCAGCCATTAAATCCAGTCGTGGACATTTGAATTCAAAATTTATTTCCTTCATTGTAATTGTATTACATGAAAAAGTATTTTGTTTGACTGTGAATGCATATTTCACTGAAAGTCGCCATCAGTTTAAAAAAAAAACCCCACAATATTATTCAATCTCAAAAGAAATTGTTTGTCACACAAATGTCTGTTTATCCAGCTATAACTTACCTGTTTCCTGTCAGCAGCTAAGCCACTCAGGCTGTTGGTGAGCTCGTGTCCCTTCTTACGAACATCATCCATGAGGCTGCTTTGTCCTAGCACTTCACTACTGAGTGACTTGATTCGATCTAACTGACCATGGAGTTTATCAGGGTCTGGGGTCCCGCTCTCCTGTTTGATGGAGGCGAGCTGGTCTTCTGTGTCAGCCAGCCAAGTCAGCATTTTAAACGCTGCATCATTGAATCCCCTTTGTTTAGCACTTAGTTCAGACAGACTGTCACCAAAGTTGGTGCATCTTTAGAAAGAGACAGAGGGAGAGAGATAATACATTTTTCTAAAAATTATCAAAACATATATGGTATAACATATCCATATGAACTTTTAACTTATATTTATTTAAAACTTATAAATATTAAATATTGCATATGGAACACAGAGTTAAAATAAAATAAAAATTGAGAAAATAAAATAATTATTTTCACTTCCCACCTTTTATTATTCAAAGAGAATTAAAAAAAAAATTGTCCTTATTAAAATCTTTCTCTATATACATAAAATACTTTCAATTAAAAAAAATATTAATATATACTGTTATATATTCATTCATGCAAAAATCAAGGAATCCTTTATTGCTTAAATCTTAAAGTTAAACTAACTAAAAGAAATTGAAGTATTTAGCAAAAGCTCCACGTTACCTGTGTTTAAGATCAGAATATTCATCTGAGACTTCCTTCAGCTTATCTTTAACATTGTCTGCAGCTACATGGTCCATACTGATCAAACTGCTGCGTGCTGGACGTTGGCGGTCAACGCGGAATGAATCAACTTCCAGTTTATGGAGCTAGAGTTCATGAAAAAATAAACTTCTTGAAATACATATTTAATTGTGACACCATCACACTGATGATTCAAAGACCTTAAGTAAAGCCCCACTATTATTATATGATAGTTTTCTACTTTTTTCCCCCGTTTTTCTTATAATTTTGATTTTCTTAACAGAATAACATCCACTGCAAGCTTTAGTCTGAGAACAATAAACACTTGCTGACCAATGTCCCCTGGATTAGTCCGGTTAGTCCTTTAAGACTTTGCTTAACATAGGACACACATTTCAGTGTTTCTTTAATGAACATGAGCATGAACAATGTATTCACAATAAATTTCCAATTGTTTTGAATGAACGAAGGAACCTTATGTCACGTAGTGTTAGTATTGTGAGATGTAGATCATGTCCACGTACCTTTGCCTCCTCCATATACTTCTGTACAGCCATTGACATGTATCTGATGTCAGCCTGGTGGGACATTATGTCACTATGAAGTTCCTTCTGTTTTTCTTGGAGAGGTTTCAGATCTTCAAATCTGCAAGAATTTGTTTTGTTTGCTTACAAGCTTCCTTATTCTGGACTATGATTGTAACAAAGACATCCAACATTGTGTTCCAAGTTAATAACAGATGCATTGCTGTTTTCAAACAATTTCATAAATTTAAGACAACTTTTTCCAATTTCTTGTAATATTTTCATCTGTTCTGTTGGCTGCGGAAGGCTCTTAGCCAAAATGTCCTGTCTATCAATTAAAGCTTCCACATCCCTTGTTCTACTATTTCCTTGATAAATTTAATAAAGTATTTTCATACATGTTTCATCTCTCTTAACCATTTGCAACTAAACCTGTGTGAATCAAAGTCATATATGTGAAAAGAATTTAAAAAAAAATTAAAACTTTTAAGGAAACTAAAAATAAAATCCATACTTCTCTCCCTTTTATAAACAATGAACGAGTACAATAAACAAACCTGTGTAGACATTCCTCTTGTCGCAATAGTTCACTGTTGGCCGAAGACTTCCATGCATTGAACTTGTTCATTTCTGTCTCCAGCTTGGACAGCTCCTCGTGGGCCGTCTTGAGATGTTTCATTCTTCTGTCTGAGGTCTTCACAATCTATTCGTGAATACATTTATAACTGGAATCAAGTTAGTCAAAAAGGCTTTTGTGATACATAAGCTGGTGTCACAAGAGTCAGCGGGTCGACTCAAGTCAGGAGACTCAGATAAGGTATGGCTGCTGTCCAGTTGATGTGTATTTTAACAGAGACTAATAAAACATTGAATAAGCTCCCATTAACCTGGTCACCAACTGCATAAGACCGGGTGTAGAGTGGCTCCTTACACTGTGCTATTAATTTGTTAATGGTTTGGATGTTGAGGCACATAGAAGAGATAGAAGAGTCGAGGCAGATAGAAGAGTCGAGGCAGATAGAAGAGTCGAGGCAGATAGAAGAGTTGAGGCAGATAGAAGAGTTGAGGGAGATAAAAGATTAGAAGTTGAGCTAGCTGCTAAATATGTTAAATTTCAATCTTCAATCTCAACAGTGGGAAATTAAATTTGATATATTTTCTTATAGTGACAAAGGTTAACCTTAAAACAGAATTATTTTAAATTTCTAATTATTTTGATATAACTGTTTTATAAAAGCTAATTTTTGCTGCATGTATCCTTTTTGTTTCATATTGCAGTAACAAATATGAACTGTCAAAGTGGCTTGATGGGGCTTTTATAGATTATCTGACCTTTTCTAATGCTTTCTTAAGACTGGCTGCCTCAGATGCCAGGTCAGTGACCTGTTCTGGAGTGAGCTCCTCCTGATAGTGTTCAGTCAACTGCTCCGCCTGGTATACAAGTGACAAGATGGGTTGTTGATGTCCTAGGATTTCATCATGGACGGACTGAGGGACACAAAAGAAGAAAGTGAATTGCTATTGAATGCAGGAAAAGTCTGATTTCAAAAGTTTGCTTCCCGAGATATTTTTAATTTCATTTAATCAATTTAAAGAGTAGTTTTAGGAAAAAAATAAGAAGTATACGATAATTAGGTAAAAAAACGCATGAATTCAAAGATAAAATAAACAATAATTTGGAAACAAAATATATGAATAAAAAGATGAAGCCAACCTAGTATGATGACAAATTTTAAATTAAAAGGAACATGTAAAAAAAGAACAGATCTATTTGCAAGCTATGATTAACATACTATCATACTAATGACAACGTTGACATGTCATACAGATTGACAACAACGATGGAGATGAAAGTAACCTTGTGGGCCTGGAGCTGGCTCATGACCTTGTAAGACTCATCACCCATTTGTGAGTCCTCTTTGAGAAGCTGTTCAAAGTTGTGCAGCCTGAGCAGTTCTGCTTGCATGTCTTGTACCAGCTTGTCATAGGAGTCTCCCATGCGGCCCTGTACAGAACATGATGACACAAGTTAGAGGGTGGTCCATTCTCAACGGGTTACATTCAACAACATTTAGTTTATCATTCACTTGTTTGCTTTCTGGGGGTAATTAATGCTCTAATCAATCTTTGCTGACTAAGACTGATGGAAAAAGTGATTTTTAAAAATTAAAAATTTATTTTAAACCTAAATCAACTTTTTATTGTGACTATCTTTTTTTTGTACATTAAAATGATTTAATAAAATAATTGATGTGTACAATGTTACATGGAAAGTTGACATCTTAAGTAGTAAAATAAATTTCAAGGTGCAAATTAGTTGACAGCTGTGTAAAGTTGCACTGTTTTTCTGTAAGGATAAACTGAATCAAATTTAATCCCATTTATCAAGCTGATGAGGCAACAGTTGGCAAATTAAAGAGGCAAATTCCACAGACAGTTGGCAAATTAAAGAGGCAAAGTCGACAAAGTAGATGAGCAAAATGAAAAGATTTTGTTTAAAAAATGAAATGTAAATCAAAATGACATACATGCACAGACATATATATGGAAGTTTCATTATGTACACAAAATCAGCTATTGCCATGAATATGTCCATGCTGACACGCCAATAAGCATTCTGGAGGAAATCAGTATCAAAAAGTTGAATCCCTAACTGAAATGTGTCAAACAAAATAAAAAATAGTATTGCACAATGTCATTAATCAAGGGTGGTCAACTCCGAAAGGGGGGGGGGGGTTTGGGGGTGGGGGGGGTGGTAAAAGTGTCACCATTTTTATTCATGAACTTTTTTTTTTTTAAATATTAAATAAAAAAGTTGAATCCCTAACTGAAAGGTGTCAAACAAAATAAAAAATAGTATGGCACAATGTCATTAATCAAGGGTGGTCAACTCCGAAAGGGGGGGGGGGTTTGGTGGTGGTGGTGGTGGTAAAAGTGTCACCATTTTTATTCATGAACTTTATTTTTTTTAAACATTAAATTTAACTGTAGTTGGCTTCAGTGCCCAATTTTCCACAATTAGTTAAGATTAGTGAGAGTCTTAGTATCTTTATGTTAGGACCACCCCTGTAAGATTAGAATCACAAAAACACACCAAGACATGACATGCATTCCCATTTAGCACTGACCAAAACTGGTTGCATAATCAAAATAATAGCAATTCCCTTTTCCTTCTCAGAGTTTAGAATATTGTGAAAGAAATATAAAAAAAAAAAAAATAATCATATAAATAAAAAATAACAGAAAAAGAAGCAGCAGGATGTTAAAAAAAAAAAAAAAAAAAAAAAAAAAAAATAAATGTATGATGATATGTTAACTAGGCTATTCATCTATTTGTGAGTGGGTGTTAAAACAACTGATTAAAACTGTTCTCAAACAGTGCAGACATCAAGTAATTTAAATATGTTAGGACAACACTGATTTTTAGTTTTGATAGCAAGGCAAGGACTGGGATTAAGACTGGAACTCTAAGTGACCAGTGCACGACCCTATCTAAAGTATTTGTCTTTTCAATGCTATCTACAAAAAGCCAAGCCAAGTATCTCTTGTTGGTTATGTTGTAGCTCATAGCTTATCATTCCAAGAAAATGATTCCATCTGCTTATTGTCACACTCCATGCACTTGGAACAAGTTTTACAAGTTAAGCTTTCTTCTAATTTAGTTCTGTATAAAATTAAATTCTAAAGAGTTGTTAAGTTAGAAATCAACCATGCAATCTGTGCTATATATTTGACCTCAGACCAAAGAAAAATAATTTCCATGATTTATGTAAAGTCCATCATGCAAACAAAAGGTCAGCAGGCTATATCCAAAGGATTCTCGCCACATCCGGCTCATGCATGCTACCTTGCGCCTGTCCCTCGCAGTGGTTCCTGCTCTGAGATTCAACTTGAAGAACTTGTCGGTGAGCCTTAGAGCTTCCAGCTCCGGGGTGCTGGCCTCTCTTTCGTCGTGTGAGGATGTGGGAGAGGACGGTGAGCCTGGGGACACTAGCTGCTCCAGTGAGAAGCCAAGATGTTTGATATGTTCCTGTTGGTGTATCCCTGGAAGTTCTGATGGAATCCTGCCTGGCACTTCTGATGGGATCCTGCTTGGAATTTCTGCTCCAGGTGCATCCAAGGGAAAATCATGAGGATGATCTTTGATCCCAAGAGATGGTGGGGCTTGGTCTACAGAACCCTTTGACCCATCATCTACCCCAACTGAGCAACTTTCACTAACAGAACTAAACTCTACTTCAGGGGACATATCTTTGAACCTAACCCTATGCCCTGTCTTAGATTTGCTAGTCCTTGGGCTCTCTCCTCTATCTTTAAGAATAGACTCTGTTGCATCCTCTGATGTTTCATCTCCTGAACTCTGTGAGTCTTTCTGAGACTGCAAACGAGCTCTTTTTGAGAAAGCATCTTTGTCTTTATTTGTACCAACACATTTGAGAGGTTCATCTTGCTCCAAACACATTTCTTTATTCTTCTCCTGTCTCTTACGATCAGATTCACCAAAAACTTCACTGTCTGTTACTTTGTGGTCGGGTTTCAAACTGGGTGTCAATGTTTCTAAACCAAAAACAGTTGCTCTTTCTTCCTCTTCAAAATCCCTGAGCACTGTTTCCACATCATTTCTGCTGCCCACATGAACCTTAACTTTTTCAGAGAGCGGCTCAGACAGGTTTGTGTTATCATATTGTCCAATGGCTGGACTAACTTTCTGTGCTGTGGTGATCTGTTTCTTAAAGGCTTGCGATGAAGTGATACCAGCTGCTGTCAGACTGTCTCCTGGAATATCATCATTTGCCGCTAATCTGGTTCCAAATTCTTTATTTTCATGTGGTAAAAATTTAGCAGTACCTTTTTTCTCTTCTAAAATTGTGTGCTTAGAGATCTTTACACCCCCATTTTCTGGTAAATTACCTTCAATTGTCTTTTCCTTCTCATTATTTACCAGGTCATCTATTTCTCTGAGCTCTAATCCTTGTTCAGTTGGGACAGCATCAGGTGCAATATTGTCTAATGATTCAGGTTGACTGATGGTCTGTGCCAGACTGGAGGACATCAAACTGTTATCTCCATCCACAGATGAGCCCACATAGCTGGTATTCTCAGATGGCTCTGGGTATAGTTTAGGTATATCCGACACTAGTGTATCTTGAGGGCTCCCAAAAATGCTGTGCAAGGTTGATGCCTTTGATAACTTGTCAGCCATTGCTTTTTTCTTAGGTGTGTCAGTTTTGTTCTCATCTACTTTGACACCTTTGATTGAACTGACCCTGTCTTGAAGTCCTGGCTTTGGTGAGCATTCACTGTGATCAGGTTGTGGAACGCTATCGTTAGGTATTAAAACTTGTGCATTACTCATTGAAAAACTTGTCTTATCATTGTTACTTGTGATTTTATCTGAATCCTCTACCAATGACCTTTCCTTGAGTTTAGGTTCTGTATTATCAAAGGCATCATTGATTTGTTCTGGAATGACTGATTTTACTGTCAGTGGAGTGGTAGTGTACTCCAACAGAGTAAGCTCATCTCTCCTCACTTGGCCTGTAGATGTCTTTTCTTCAATGTCAGATACCAACAAAGAAATCCCCTCAGTTGGTTCTGGTAAAACAGTCTGATGACTCACTTCTATTGTTTTATTGAAAAGATCCACCCTTGAGATTCCTGGTTTACCCTCTGGTTCACTGGATACTGACTGGGTCATTGTAGAACATATGCTGGATGAAGGCCTGACATTAGTTTCTGGATGAACAACAGCGTCTTGCTCCTCATTAACAGTCAAATTTTTGGTCAATGTTGGCTTCACAGTGGTCTCAGTACCAGCTTCTTGTAAGAGCTGCTTTACAGATAGTTTCACAATTTCTTTCTCTGATGGAGTCTTCACAGTGGGTACAACATCCCTTTTTTCTGGAGGTGTTTTCAAAACTGCTACATGACCTTTTTCTGATGGTGACTTCACAATTTGTTTAACATCACCTCCTTCTGAGGGTAACTTCCCGATTGACTTAACATCACCTCCTTCTGACGGTGAGTTCACAATTTGTTTAACATCACCACCTTCTGATGGTGACTTTATGATTGGCTTAGCATCACCTCCGTCTGATAGTGACTTTACGATTGGCTTAACATCACCTCCTTCTGAAGGTGACTTCACGATTTGTTTAACATCATCTCCTTCTGATGGTGACTTTACGATTGGTTTAGCATCACCCCCTTCTGATGGTGACTTCACAATTTGTTTAACATCACCTCCTTCTGAATGTGACTTTACGATTGGCTTAACATCACCTCCTTCTGATAGTGACTTTACGATTGGCTTAACATCACCTCCTTCTGAAGGTGACTTCCCAATTTGTTTAACATCACCTCCTTCTGATGGTGACTTCCCAATTTGTTTAACATCACGTCCTTCTGATGGTGACTTTACGATTGGCTTAGCATCACCCCCTTCTGATGGTGACTTCCCAATTTGTTTAACATCACGTCCTTCTGATGGTGACTTTACGATTGGCTTAGCATCACCCCCTTCTGATGGTGACTTCACAATTTGTTTAACATCACCTCCTTCTGAATGTGACTTTACGATTGGCTTAACATCACCTCCTTCTGATAGTGACTTTACGATTGGCTTAACATCACCTCCTTCTGAAGGTGACTTCCCAATTTGTTTAACATCACCTCCTTCTGATGGTGACTTCCCAATTTGTTTAACATCATCTCCTTCTGAGGGTGACTTTCCGATTGGCTTAACATCACCTCCTTCTGATGGTGAGTTCACAATTTGTTTAACATCACCTCCTTCTGAGGGTGACTTTACGATTGGCTTAACATCACCTACTTCTGATGGTGACTTCACAATTTCTTTAACATCACCTCCTTCTGATAGTGACTTTACAATTGGCTTAACATCACCTCCTTCTGATGGTGACTTCCCAATTTGTTTAACATCACCTCCTTCTGAGGGTGACTTCCCGATTGGCTTAACATCACCTCCTTCTGATGGTGACTTCCCGATTTGTTTAACATCACCTCCTTCTGAGGGTAACTTCCCAATTGGCTTAACATCACCTCCTTCTGATGGTGACTTCCCAATTTGTTTAACATCACCTCCTTCTAATGGTGACTTTACGATTGGCTTAACATCACCTCCTTCTGATGGTGACTTACCAATTTGTTTAACATCACCTCCTTCTGAGGGTGACTTCACAATTTGTTTAACATCTTCTCCTTCTGATGGTGACTTAACAATTGTTTCAACATCACCTCCTTCTGATTGTGACCTCACGATTGGCTTAACATCACCTCCTTCTGATGAAGTTCTTACAGTGGCATCAACTACATCTTTTACCAATGATGCAATCACAGTTTGTTCATCACCTCCATCTAATCTTTGATCTGATGCTGCTGAACTCACAATTAAAAGTTTTGAAATATTTTCACCTTTTTGGAAGTGCTCTTTGTCACCCACAGTTCCAGATATAGTGACTTTAGTATCAGCTGGGGACCCCACTTGAGTCTTGCTGGACTTTTCATTCCCAGTGAAATGAAGAGGTTTTGGTGGTATTGCAGGCTTTGCGCTTGAGCCCTGTGTTTTAGCAGATGCAGCTGATCCCAAGACTTTATCTTCACTCTTCCCATTGAAATTTGTATCTGATTGTCCAGGAGGCAGAGGTTTGGCTTTATCATCTCTATGACTTAACTCAGCTCCAAAAGATACTTTGTCTGCGAGATTCATGTTCACTGATTGTCCTGGCAATTGTACTCTATCTTCATCATTATTTGTAGTATATCCCTCTTTTGATGTGTGCATTTTATCAAGAAGAGAAGATTCCTTTCTGTGATCTGAAGTTTGCAAAGGTTCATTTGAGAAGGAGCTGAGAGATGCTTTTGTTTTTCTACTAGCTACAGCTTGGTTTTGATCAAATCCTTTCAGAAGCACATTTGATATTCCTTGAGCAGATTGCTGTTCTCGGCCCTCATCAACTGTGACCTCATTGGCCTGTGGGAATGCTGAAAGTGAACTTGAATTATCAAGTGATTCTTTCTGTGTTATACCTGATCTTTCATCTCTAAGCTCAGCCTTAGTTTCTGGCTCAGTGGAGAGGACCTTCAATGGCTTGGTGAAAGCTCCATTGGTTTGAAAGCAACCTGCTTTGTTGTTAATATCATTTGGTACTGCATCATCGGTGTTACTGAGATGGATCTGCTGTTTATCTCTAATCAGTGCATTATCATCCTGATATTGCACTGGGACATTATCATCACCACCATTTTTATCTTCACTGGCAATGCTGCTATCCAACGGAAGCTTGAACACGGGTTTCTTTGGAATGGCAGGTTTGGTTCTAATAGTTTCATTGCTTTCAGTGAATCCGGTTATAGGTAACTGAGAGAGTTGATTTTCCTGAATGAGCTTATTTTTTCTTGGAATGTGCTCAGCATTTGAATATGATGTGATACCATATCCTTCAGCTATTTTCTCATTCGATAATTTATCATGATCTGAAGAAGTGCCTGGTTCGAAGCAAGCATTAAAACTAGATTTTGTATCAATAATGACAGACTGGGAGCTTCCACATTTAACAGTAGGTTCTGATGTGACAGCACTGGGTTTGTCAACAATTCCACCTTTAACCGTTTCTGAATTGATGGCCCTGGGTACCTCCATCATTCTGTCAACAATCCCACCTTTAACATAAGGTTTTGATGTAACAGCACTGGGTTCGTCTGTCTTTCTGTCAACAATTCCACCTTTAACAGTAGTTTCTGATGTGACATCACTGGGTTTGTCTGTCTTTCTGTCAACAATTCCACCTTTAAAAGATTCCGATGGGACTGCACTGGGTTCATCCGCCATTCTGTCAACAATGCCACCTTTAACAGAAGGTTGTAATGTGAAAACATTGGGTTTGTCTGTCTTTCTGTCAACAATTCCACCATTAACGGAAACTTCTGATGGGACACCACTTGGTTTTTCCACCATTCTGTCAATTCCACCTTGAACAGCAGGTTCTGATGCACATGGTTTATCTTTAATTTCGTTAACAATTCCAGGTTTTGTTGCATTTTCTGATGTGACAGCAATGGGTTTGCCTGTCAAGTTGTCATTAAATCCAGGCTCAGTAGTAGGATGAATGTCATTTTGTTCCAACTGAAGATAAGCTTCCCCTGATTTGTTGCCGACATCTGTGAGTGGAACATTTTCCTCCATGGTCCTTAAGGATGATTTGCCTGCATTTTTTGCTTGGAAGTTAGCTTTTTCTGAAATGTTTTGTGTTTCAACTTCTTCCCCTCGTAGTTCTAAAAGTTGTGTTGCATGATTAAGGCCATCTGTACCACCTGTATCCAGAGCCTGTGATTGATGGGGTTGACCGATGATCTCTCCTGTTTTGATGAATGGTTCAATTATTGGGGTCAATGGCTGCTCTGGCCTGAAAGGTGCAGGTTTATCTTCCAAAACCGACATTGTGACACCAGATATAGTCTTGATGGACTTAAATTTATCTGTTTTAGTTAAGCCTTGACTAAGATCATCACTGAAAGTGACTTCACAAACCCCATGCTCTTTGCTACCATTAACAATTTCACGTTGTTTTGATACTTTCACTGAAAAAGAACTCAAATCTTTTTCAATATTTCCATTGACTTTGTTAATTTCTATCATTTTAGAAATAGGATCAGGTTTATGATTAAGTTTGGAGATTTCCTCTACTGTCATTTGACTGTCACCCAACCTCTTTGAGATTTCATCCTCTGTCATTTGACTGTCACCCAACCTTTTTGAGGTTTTCTCCTCTGTCATTTGACTGTCACCCAACCTCTTTGAGATTTCTTGAATATCATTTCTGATCAAGCCTTTATCAAAGATTGTCAACATTTCTTGGTTTCCATTGTCAATATTTGTTTTGTCTTTGATAGGTACAGTTTTACTTGCTGGACGGTCTTTTATTGGTAACTTTGAAACACTAACTTCTAATTCTTTCACATTTTGTGATTCTGCTCTCTGTCTGTCTCTGGCTTTACTTTCTGTAAGCTGTGATTTGTCTGTCATGACAAGCACCTCTGTGCCTGAAGGGGTTAATGCTGTGTTGTCTACAGTTTCACCAGATTTTGTAAGCACCGGTCGGATAGTTGTGCTGGATGATGACTGAGAGTTATCCAGATCTGAGTCACTAGAAATGTTCTCATCTTGCGAGATCTCATCATCTGAATCTATAGGTGTGCTTTGTTTATGTTCATATTCAGTGTCATTGATTACTGACTTTGCTTCAATGGTAGTTTTTTTGCTGAGATTTCCAGCAGTGGCTTGGATTTGAGCTGAGGTCCTATCATCAGGAAATAATGACTCTTCATCTACTCCAGCCACATTTGTCATTCCAGAAACCATTGTTTTTTTCTTCTGTTCCTTTGTTTGTTGAGCAAACTGTAACCCTTTAAGTGGTGATGACCCCATGGGATCATCATTTCTTCCGAGGTGGCTCAAAACTTTTGGTCCACTAGGTTTATTTAAAGCAACAACTTCTACATGTCTCGGGTCATCGGTCAGTTCCAATATTGGTCTTGCTTGAATTGGTGATGGTCTGACCGGAGTCTTATTATGCTCATCAAAGCTTCCTTTCCTGGCATTTTCATTTCTACCAATGTCCCCCAACATTGGCAAGATTAATGATCTACGTGGGCCTTGCAAATCTGGTGACAAAAGTCTGCTGATGGGAACAAAGGGTAGAGATGCACTTCGTCCATTTGGCCCAGGAGAAGGGGAGGCTTGTCTACGTAAGTCAGGTATGGGACTGCAAGCTAGCTGTCTAGAAGGATCCTGTAAACCTTCTCTTGTGCTGGTGCTCACAATTAAACCAGCTGATATGGCATCCTGGAAGTTGATGCTTTCTTTTGTAACTGGATGAATAAAAACACCTCTTTGTGGATCGATAATGTTCTTTTTGATGGCTTCTCCAAGAGTAACAATGCTTTCCTGGGTCATGTCCCTAATTTCTGGATGTTGAACAGTGATGATATTGTCAGCAATCAGATCGTGAAGACATCCAATGGTACCTGTATCTGGGTGTACAAACTGGCCGGAGAACTCAAAATACAAACCCTGGTCAACAGCACTGTACAATGACAGTCCTTTAGGACTTATAATAAATCCTTTTTCAACAGCTGAAGCTAAAGACATGGTCTCTCCAGTTTGTGGGTTTTTGAAATCTCCAGTCTTCATGTCAATCAAACCCATACTGGCAGCTTTGCGTAGTGTGATGCCCTGAACAGAGTCAGGGTCTATGACCTGAGAGTTGGAACGGTGGAGAATCCCGCTGGAGAAGGCATCTTCCAGTTTTCTCCTCCCATAATCGGACATGTCTTCAACACGAATCTCAACAGTATTTCTAGGACTATACTTCTCTTTGAAGATCAAGCCAACATCTCTGGCCTGTTTCAGGTTGAGGACAGTACCTGTGCTGTGGTCTAGAAACTTTCCAGGCTCTGCGTCAATGACCCCTTGCTCTATTGCTTCTCTCAAAGTCATTGGTTGCTCTGCTGTGGAAGAGATGATCTCTTTGACCGTATCATTAATGAGACCACAGTCTATGGCTTCCCACAGATTCAAAATACGTCCAGTTTCTGGATCACAGAAGTAGGAGCTGGCATCATCGTAGACCCCCTTTTCAACCGAGTTAAATAATGAGAACGGCTTTTCTTCAATCAGCTGTTTCCTAATGGCATCTTGCAGCAATGAGTCCAGAGATGCTGACAGCTCATCTGAAGGAGGGCTCCACCTTGACTGCAGGTCTCTCATTAATTCTTCTTTCCTAGATGCGGCATAACTTTCATAGTGATCCTCAAGATCATTAGTACTGTGGCTTCTCTCAGTTTTTAAGTAGGCCTCTACTTTTTCCTTGGCATTTTTGTGAATGCTGTCACTGCAGGAGCTCTGACTGCGTTCATAGCATATTCTGAGACTGACATCAGTATTGTCTTCATTGTCAAAAGTAACAGGCAGGGAAGCCTCACTTTCAGTGAAGCTGACATTTAAATCTTCAGGAAATCTGCAAACTGTTGGTGGACTATCAGTGGAGATTTGGGAGGCATCACTCATTAAGTCTCTGATGCATTTTGTGTCTGGGTTTCTCACTGATAAGGAGACTAAACTCTCTTCAGATCTAGATTGTTCATCCATTGAAAATGTTTCATTTATATTTTCAATAACACTTTTCTGAAGATGAAGTTCAGTGATTTCTTCAGAAAAAGTCCTGGCTTCAAGTGGAATTTTGCCATTATCACCGTATTCTTCTGACTTAAACCTTGAGTCAGAATCTGGGATCCCTCTGAACATATCAACATCACGTGAGCAGCTAAGAGTATTGTCTTCACCTTCACTAGAGCTATCCTCAGTAGGATCTGATTCAAGTCTCATGCTGGTGGCTCTCTGGCTGGAGTCACATGAATCAACTTCCATTGAACTCTCAGTGTCTTTGGAAAATACGGTCAAGGAGGATTTGGACGAAATAGGTGAAGAGTAGGGCTCGGAGGCAGGAGAAGATAACTGCTCAAAACTGTCCAGTGAAGACATGCTTCTCCGAAACTCCTCCTCCGTTTGCTTGTGTTGAGCGACAAGCAGACGTTTGGTTCCAACAGCTTCAGTCAGGGTGAGAGGTGTATTTGCAGCAATGTAACTGCCAGTGTTTGGATCTATCAGGCCTTTGTCGATCGCCTGCTGCAGAGTGAAAACACCAACCTCTGGGACAGCCACCTGAGGTTTCACTTCATTGATGACACCACTTTTGATGGCTTCAGCGAGGGTCAGCTTCCTGCTGGTAAGTGGGTCAACAAATCTTAGATTTGTCTCGTCATAGAGACCTGAGGATAAAATGTCCCCAAGAAGAAATCCCCCTTTCGGAATCTCAATCAGAATGTTTTTATTGAATGCGGACACTATGTCATGAGAAATTCCAGTTCTTGAGTAAACAAGCTTATCATCATCAACAAAAACAATACCTTCATGAATAGCATCATCTAAGAACATGTACTTCTTATTTTCATTGACACTCACTAACAGCTGTGACACATCAGCCAGTCCAATTTCAATAGCTTTCTCGACTGACAGTGACTTTCTAGACAATGGATCCATTATTTTCCCATAGTTTTTCTGCAGAAGTCCAGCATCCACTGCCTGTTGAAGTGAAAGTGAAATTGTTTTGATGCTCTCCTGAAGCAGGCCTCTGTCCATTGCTTCTTTGAGGTTGAGCAGCTCATTAGTATCTGTGTCCAAGACCATACCAACTTTGGTATCAAGAATTTTGTGCTCTGTAGCCTCATTAAATGTTAGCAGTTTTTTATTCTTGCTGTCTAGTATTTGCAAGCTATCTGGATCTGAGATTCCCTCTGATACCATTTCTCTGAGAGTTCTTACTCTGCCTGATGAAGGATCTATAAACTTGCCAGTCTTCCAGTTGTACAAGCCTTGTTTAACAGCCTCAAGAAGGCTTTTGTCTGGAACAAAAGCATCCGAAAATATGAGGCAGTTGTCGAAGGCTTCTTGAAAAGTGATGCCCTCCTCACCTTTGTAATTTATAAATGCTCCTGTTTCGGGGCTAATGAGACCCTGACTTATTGCACCATCAATAGTCAGCAAGGATCTGGAGTTGATGTCTCTGACAGATATTGACATGCGATCAATGAGATTTGATTCCAGTGCATCTTTGAGATTCATACTGTATTGCCCCACTGGATCTTTAAACATACATGTGGATAAGTCTACTAGATTTTCATCCACAGCTTCCAGCAAAGACATGGCTGGTTGGCTTGTTGTGTCTATCATGATTCCTTTATCAAGTCCATCAACAATGTTGTATCTCTCTCCATCGAAAGAGCTGAAACAGACTCCGGCGTTCAGGTCCACGAGGCCTTTGTCCACGGCCACCTCCAGGCTCAGAACGTCTCCAGTTTTGGTATCTCTGACTCTGATCAGATCAACATCAACGATACCCTGGTCCAGTGCAGTGATGAAGTTAATTTCTTCATTTGTGTCTGGGTTGACAAACTGGTTGGAGGCCACATTAAAAAGACCTTCATCCAGAGTCTCAGAAAGGGACAAGTGTAGAGGTGCCTTTGATTTCAGTATAAGACCTTTCTCTAAGGCAAAGTTTAAAGCAATAGGTATTCCAGATGAGTCAATCATTTTACCAGATTCAGGGTCCAGCAATCTTTTGTCAAGTGCTTCTTTCAAAGAAAGGATATCCCCACTGTAGGGGTCTCTCACAAGAGAGTCACTGTGAATGAGTCCTGCATTCAAAGCTTTGGATAAAGACATAAAGCCTTCTCTTGACATGATGGAGTTTGAAACAGGGTCATAAATGCCACTGTTGATGGCCTCATCTAGTGTTAAGCTGCATTTCCGTCCCATAACAGAACTTCTGCGCCTGGACAAATATGATTTTGGCAATCCTAGACAGTCTGAAATGGATTGGAGCTTCCCTCCAGGTAGTAGCAGTTCCAGTGTATCAATGTTCAAAATCCCATCTGTAATGGCTTCCTGCAGTGTGATGTTCCTGTTCTCATGTTGGGTTAAACTTGACGCAGGATCAATAATGCCATCAGCTATGGCTTGAGTGATCGTCATAGACTGTTTGGTTTGTGGATCTATAATCCTTCTCTCATCAAAGTCTAATATACCATACTCTGCTGCCACTGCAAGCTCCAAGAACGGTCTAGGGGTGTTACGAACCAATCCTCTTTCTTTGGCTTTTACAAGTGGATATTTCTCACCAGATGACGTGTCAATCATTGAGCCTGTGGCTACTTCTACCATTCCAATCTCAATGGATTCTTTAAAATCATAGGTGAGCCCCGTGCTCCTCTCAACAATAAATGTTCTGTCTGGCATTATAAGACTCCTTTCATAAGCTGTTTCGAAAGACAACTTTTCTTCACCTATGAAAACCTCACTGGTCTCTTCATCTAACAAATCGTTCTCAATGGCTTCATAAACTGTCATTGGGAACTTATCCAATTCCATTTCCATGTCAGATGGATGGTTGTCACAAAAACTGGCAAATGTCATATCTGCTCCTTCCCCATGATCATTTATCAGGCCAGCCTCAATGGCATCAAAAAGAGGCATTGTAGTGTCCAGGACATTGTGGAAGTATGTGTTCTGAACTGGGTCAAGGATGTTCTCAAAAACAGCCTCTTCAACTAATAACCATTTTTCATGCTTGGCATCAAAGACTTCCTTTTTGGAGACATCCAAGAGTCTGTTACCAATCATTTCAGATAATGTCAAAGTTTGATTGGTTTCATTTAGTGTGTCCACAAAAATGTGTTGCTTTGCATCGAACTTGGGAGATAGCACAGTCTGATGGAGAGAGAGTGGCCTAGAATCAAAGAGCAAACCAGTGAGAATGGCTTCATCCCAGCTCATCCAAGTATCCGAAAGAGTGTCTTTGATCTGAGCTGTGTCTGGACTAAATATATTAGCAGCAATAGCCTCTGGAATAGTCAAATTCTTACCAGATTTGTGATCAACTATCTGAATGGTCATAGAGGCATCACCTCTGGTCACTGCATCTAACAGACCACAACCAAGCTCTCTTCTAAGGCATCCAACCATGTGCTCCTCATTAACTTTGTTGCTGGTCGATTGCACAATGACTAGTCCTTGGCCCATAGCCTCATGCAAAGTCAATACACCACCAGAATTCATATCAACCACTCTTCCTGTCTTGCGATCGATCTGGCCAGAAGCTAGGGCATCTGTAATACTTACGGGTTCTTCTTCCTGAAACTGTCGAACTTGAAGAATCCTAGGTAAAACAGAGCATCCAAGAGCTTCTTGCAAACCAAGCTGAGTTCCTTTCTTAGGGTGAACTACTTTTTCTGTTTCTGCATGCCAAAAGCTTTTCAGAATGTTAGTTGTGTAAGATAATAGCATTGTGTGAAAGTCTTCATCAAACAAGTAATGTTCATCAGGAATGGTTACTTTCTCAGCTTCATTGTGTTTCGAAATAGTGATTTCTTCCAGAATTGTTATGTCATTAGATTCTTTAAAAACTCCTGCGTCAGAGCTCAATTCAATGTCAGATTCACCGTGACTATCAGTTCCTGTATGAGTGCTCATTTCGATATCGGTATCCTTGTGACTATCAATTCCTGTCTGAGTGCTCATTTTGATATCAGTACCCTTGTGACTATCAATTCTTGTCTGAGTGATCATTTTAATATCAGTATCTTTGTGACTATCAATTCCCATCTGAGCGCTAATTTTGGTATCAATATCCTTGTCACTATCAATTCCTGTCTGACCACTCATTTTGATATCAGTACCCTTGCGACTATCAATTCTTGTCTGAGTGCTTATTTTAATATCAGTATCTTTGTGACTATCAATTCCTGTCTGAGCGCTGATTTTGATATCATAATCCTTGTGTCTATCAATTCCTGACTCAGTGATCATTTTGGTATCAGTATCATTGTGACTATCAATTCCTGTCTGAGCACTGATTTTGATATCAGTAGCCTTGGGACTATCAATTCTTGTCTGAGTGCTCATTTTGATATCAGTATCCTTGTGACTATCAATTCCTGTCTGAGAGGTCATTTTGATATCAGTATCCTTGTGTCTATCAATTCCTGACTCAGTGATCATTTTCATATCAGTATCCCTGTGACTATCAATTCCTGTCTGAGCGCTGATTTTGATATCAGTATCCTTGTGTCTATCAATTCCTGACTCAGTGATCATTTTCATATCAGTATCCCTGTGACTATCAATTCCTGTCTGAGCGCTGATTTTGATATCAGTATCCTTGTGACTATCAATTCCTGTCTGAGCACTGATTTTGATATCAGTAGCCTTGGGACTATCAATTCCTGTCTGAGCGCTGATTTTGATATCAGTATCCTTGTGACTATCAATTCCTGTCTGAGCGCTGATTTTGATATCAGTATCCTTGTGTCTATCAATTCCTGACTCAGTGATCATTTTGGTATCAGTATCCTTGTGACTATCAATTCCTGTCTGAGCACTGATTTTGATATCAGTAGCCTTGGGACTATCAATTCTTGTCTGAGTGCTCATTTTGATATCAGTATCCTTGTGACTATCAATTTCTGTCTGAGTGCTCATTTTGATAAGAGTATCCTTGGGACTATCAATTCCCGTCTGAGCACTCATTAGGATATCAGTATCCTTGTGACAATCAATTCCTGTCTGAATGCTCAGTTTAATTTCAGTTTCCTTGAAATCCTCTATTCTTGTCATAGTGGTCATTCTACCTTCTGTACCTTCATGGCCAACTAGTACTGTCTGAACTCCCCCAGTTTTTGTTTGATATTCATTGTTGCTTATATTCTGAACCAGAGATTTTTGTTTAATTGCCTCCTTTCTACTAGGGATGGCATCACTGACCAAACTACTTAAACCACCAGAAGACAAGACTTCAGTAGTGTGTGCACAAAGTTCTGTTCCTTTGGTACCAAGTGGGAAGTTAGAGACATCCAGAGGGATGAAATCTTCTTGAAACAATGATCTACTTCTGCTGGATTCTTTCATAAAATCCTTGTACTTATCATCATCTGTCCTTGTGTCTTCATCTGGTATGTGTCTGGGCTCATTTTGTCTTCTAGAGTCATTTTCTGAACTACTGAATTCTATGGGACTACTAATGAGTGTGTTTTCTTGTACTAATGTAAACTTATCAAGATATTCAATTGTGCCATCAAGATTGAGACCGGGGCTAGGAGAGTTAATGATAGAACTTAAAGGAATGTTGGGACTAATGGAATTACCAGCCGTGTCCTGGAAGTAGAGCAATCAATGGTGAAGAGATAAAAACAAGTCTTAGCAATTGAATTTTTAAGTATGCATTAATCACAGTACAATAATCTCTACCTAGATTATGACGACGGACCAACTCTAAGACTAAGTAGAATACATGTGTACATTATTTGGCATTTTAGGCTGGCTGTAAATGTAGACTGCTATACTGTTAGAGACTAAAGTGTGTGGAGTCTTTTCACAATTTACATAAATTATACAGCTATTAAAGTGATTTATAATATTTCAAAATTTGGAAAAAAATCAATAGGGAACAACTGACAGGAGTTTGAAAGTAAGACATTATGAGCACATAGACATACTAACAACTTGTGTTAAATGATATGGTGGTAAAAAGAAAACAATGAGAAAGGACAAACAAAGCATTGACGGAAGAAACAATTTTATCCTCGTAATTAACTTCAATCAAGTGACGACGGAACTTTATTTATTTAATATGCATACATATCTGCAAACATATTGTTTTCTGATACATATGAAGCTCAGGAAAATGATCAATTTAAAACATAAAAATTGTAAGAACAACTAAAATTAACATGTAAAAAAAAATATGTAAATAAAAAGGTAAGGATGAAACATTGCAACCAATGGTTAATAGCTACAGGTAAAAATTGAAACAAACTCTCAACAAATGGTTTTTGCAATATAATATAAAATGTTTCATACAATGATGAAACAGAATATACAAATCTCAACATGAAAACATTGAAAGATAATTGTAAAAAAGAACTCAACAGAAGCAACATAAGAAAAGTACTTACGGGGGTAATTGGTGGAGAATCTGGTGACTTATCCTTAGGTATAAATTGGTCATTGGCATTCTTAAGAGCTTTTTTCTTGAGCTCTTGCACTTGAGGAGCTCCATTGACATTGTCCTTTGACAAGAGTCCTTTAGATTCATCACTTGAAACACTCTGTTTCTGGTTCAATGATGGCAAGCCTTTTATTGATTCTCTCTGGGAGACTCCAGGTGAAGAAGCACTGTCTTTAGCAATTTTAGACACCACTCCAGAATCCACCTTAGTGGTCTTGGCTGATAATCCAACAGTGTCTGCCCTGCCATCAACTACGGAAGATTCATTGGTGGTAACTGTTTCACCCACAGTAAGAGTTGGCTTCAGAAGACCCCTTTTAATAGCCTGTGTAACTGTGACTGTTTCCTGTGTGTAGGGGTCAGTGTAGCGGCCTGTGGCCGTGTCTATGTAACCTTGTGTTATGGCGGCAGCCAGGTTCATGGAATCCACACCATTGACATGATGAAAACCAACATCTCCATTCTGGATTACGTCACTGTCTGAGTCACTTTCGTCACAGGATATAAACCCAAAGAGGACGGCCTCATCTATTGGTAGGGTCTCACCAGTGACAGGGTCATGGAACAGGCCAGAGTCACTATCCACAAGGCCACCTAAGATGGCTTCATGCAATGCCAGTTTGTTATCTGTCTTCACTACAGATACGAGGCCCCTTTCTTCTGCCTCTGTCAGACTCAGTTTTTCTCCAGTCCTGGAGTCCAATATTTCCTCTAAGTTGGATGCTGCACTAGGGGCCACACCATCTTTCAGAATGACGACCGAATCCCCAATAGCTCTTGCGCCATAAGCCCCGGCAATGGGGGACAGATAACCTTTTTCTAGGGCCGATTCAATGGATATTGTGTCTCCTGTGATGCTGTCATAGAACAAACATGTTTCTGAATCAATAATGCCAGTCTGGAGTGCATTTTTGAAGCTGTAAGTTATGCCCGTTTCTCCGATTCCTTTGTATTCAAATGGCCTCCCATCAGATGCAACGACCAGTCCGGTCCTTACAGCTTCATCCACAGAATACATCTTCTGGGAGGCTTCATCTAAAAAAGTACCAGTACTTGGGTCAATAAGTCCCTGCTGCATGGCATCATGAAATGTTATGTAGTCTTCACCACCTCGTTGTTCAGCAATGATGCTTGACTGGGGCGATTTCTGCAGCTTCTCTGAGACAACAAGTCCAAGCTTCATGGCCTCAGCCAGAGAAATGATGTCTCCTGTCAGCGTGTCTGTGTATTTCCCAGATGGATCAAGGATGCCACTGGTTATAGCCTCTTCGACACTCACTTCCTTGCCCGTCTCAGTGTCAATCACTCCTGTTATATTGTAGCTACCTACTGGTTTCTTGGAAGTAACTGTCGTCTGAGATTTTGAAACTGTCTGTATGGTGCCTGCAACGAGACCTTCTTTCATGGCATCTTCAATCAGCATCTGCACACCAGTTACTGGATTGTTAAACACAGTACAATTGTCATCCACAAGTCCCTTTTCAATTGCTTCTGCCAGGCCAACCTTCTGACCAGTGTCTGGGTCATGGACTTTGGAGACATTGATTTGTTTGGCATCTTGCTTTGTCTGCTCAGTGAGTCCAGTCTCTGCTGTGTCTTTGCCATCAATCAAACCATGTTTCAGAGCTTCCCTAAGAGAAATGGGTCCAGATCTATCATTGTAAACACCATTTTCTTTATCTAGGATGCCTGACTTGATGGCGTCTGCTATAGGGATTGGCTTCCCTGTCTGAGGATCTGAAACCTCTGTTATTAAGACACCATTGATGACGGCAACCTCTTGTTCTTTTTCTCCTTCTTCTACTTCTGCACTGATGAGTCCTCTGTCGATAGCTTTGTCCAAGGAAATGTGCTCGCCTGTGTGGACATTGATAAGTTCTCCCTGATCTGGGTCAAAGATACCTTGACCAATAGCTTCGGACATGGTCAGTTCATATCCTGTAGCTGGGTCTACCACTGCCGTGATGGTCATTGACTTTTGGGTTACAGATGTCACTACTGGTTCTGGTACATCGGACTCCAAAATGACAAGGCCTTTTTTCACAGCCTCAGAAATGCTCATCTTCTTTCCTGACTTCTTGTCTATGTATTGGATATTTCTTTTATCAAGTATTCCCATCAGTAGGGCATCTTTACCAGACACTGACTGGCTTCTTCTGGTGTCCATGGCTGACTTCACTTTGTAGTCACCTACAATTACTATGCCCGATGCCAGTTTATCTTTCACTTTTCCTTTAATGAGTCCTTGCTCGAAGGCCTCTTTGATGGGCACAGGGTCCAGGCTGGCAGGATCATTGTACGTACCAGATTTTAAATCAAGAAGACCAGATGAAACCGCTTCACTGATGGTCACATGTTCATCTTTGACAGGATCATAAACTGAGGATATGTCACAGGATTTTTCTTGGGCCGACCTAGATTTTGTCAAAGTCTGTTTAGTGATCATGCCTTCTTTCTCTCCTTGAACTATTGTCATACTTTGACTGTCAGATATGTGATACGTTCCAGTGGCGGGATCGATTATTCCTTTCCTTACGGCTTCATTCCAAGTGAGATAATCTTCAGTTTCAGGATCAAAGACCTCCCTTCCTTGACCTTTAGACGATCCGCCGACTGACTCCACAGTGTTTGTAGTTGTCTCTTGCCCATTAAGGAATCCTTGTTTTAGAGCCTCACCCAGAGAGATGGACTCTCCGGCTTGGCTGATGGTCACAGTACCATCTGCGACATTGAGAACACCGCGCTCGATGGCCTGAGCCACCGACATCTCTATTTCAGTGACTGGATCTATGACGGATTGCACTTTGAAAGATGCGGTCTGAGTGATTGTAGAATGGTGGCCGTCCAAAGTCTCCAAATGAGGTTCAACTTCCCTGGCAGCTACAAGACCATGGTGGATGGCCTCATCCAATGGTATGACAGTACCTTGCTCTGTGTCTTTGAAGTACGTAGCTTCCTCATCAATAATTCCTTTGATCAGGGCTTGTGATAATGTCAGGGTCCTGCCAGTGTGTGTGTCTGTTACGCTATCCACTTGCAGAAGCTTCTTCTCAGAAAAGGCCACCTCTGATGTGTGACCAGCTTTTGTCTCCTCTTTTGTTGTCAGTTTTTCTATCACCATGCCCTTAATTAAGCCTTCATTGGCAGCATCAGAAATGGGTATTCTCTCACCTGTCAGTGGATTCTCATAGACACTGTTTTTCAAATCAACAATACCCTTGTGGATGGCTTGGTCAAGTGGAATATCCTGTCTTGTTTCAGGGTCATAGACACCGTCCACTTGAATCTTCTCTGTGGTTTTAGAGAAAATACTGACCCCATCATTGGATGGCAATGATGGCGTCTCTTTGAGACTTCCATCTTTGATGCACTGGTCGATATTTTTGGCATGTCCAGTTTTTGGATCCACCACATGGCCTTTGTCATCAATGACCCCATGTCTTAGAGCATCCTCTAAATTGACTTGTTTTCCAGTGTGGGGATCTTTGATGGTGGCCGAGTCTTTCTTGATAAGCCCACCCATGATGGCATCACTTACTTCCATGGCCTTGTTAGTGATGGGATCTTTAAACACACCAGTCTTAGGATTTAAATAGCCACTGGAAATTGCCTCGTGAAGAGTCATTGTATCCGAGACGTCACTTGATGGGATGGTTTGTTGCAACTGTGTTATTTCCAGGAGGTTTGAAGACATGCGGCGCACAGTAGAGGCTTGGAATGAAATGCCGGGAGCTTCATGTTCTTCAGGGGTGTTGACCTGCTTCTTTTTCTTACTGTCTATGAATCCTGAGACTGACTCTGTTGCCGCCATAGCGACAGCAAATGGGGCACCAACAATGGCAAGAGCTCCATATTTAGCCGCTTCTTTGAGTGTCATTTGTTTACCAGTCTCTTCATCAATGAATTTGCCAGACTTTGGATCTATTTTACCTTCCTGAAGAGCTTCCTCTAAAGTGTAGATCTCTTTTGACTTCACATCGTAGACCGTAAAATTACCATCAATTTTACCACTGGCTACAGCTTGTTGTAGTGTAAGATCCTTCTTGGTGAGAGGGTCATGAAAAACACCTTTTTTATCATCATACAGACCATCATCCATTGCTTTTGACAAACTGATGCCCTGACTATGCTGTGGCTCTGTGGCCAGTTCAGTATCGATCAGCTGATCTCTTATGGCGTCCAGGAGAGCCATTCTCTGTCCAGATTTGGGGTCAATGTAATTTTGGTCTTCCAAGTTAATAAAGCCCATATTAAGAGCTTCGCCAAAAGACAACCTTTTGGCATCATCAGCGGTTGGCTTGTCGGGGGATCTTGTCCTGACAACTTTCACCTCCTCTTGGTATGCCTCGGTTCTCTCTGTCAACACCGATTGTTTAAGTGGACTCTTTGTTTTAGGGGCTACTGGGGGTGGTACACTGGAAGATGAGATGAGGCCATATTCAACTGCTGAAGCAATGGAAATAGTTTCTCCAGACAGGGGGTCTGTATATGTGCCATTTTTCTCATTGACATAACCTTTGGAAACAGCTTGTTTCAATGTCAGTGGTTTTTGAGAGACTGACACAGTCTGTGAGATGCCTGTTTCTTTATCTGGAATGAGGCCTTGTATGTCAGCATCTTGCAATGGGATTCTTTCTTTTGTGCCTTTGTGAATCAGTTCTCCCCTCAGCGGATCAAAAACATTGGCATCAATGGCAGTCTGCAAGGATGTCTGTAGGCCAGTTTGAGGATTGACCACAGTCGACTCCTTCCCATCAATAACTTTTTTAAGGATAGCTTCTTTGACAGACATCTGCAATCCTGTCCTTGGGTCTATGATTTTTCCAGTAGTTGAGTCATAATTTCCATCTCTGATGGCATTGTTTAATGTGTAAGGTTCTGTAGAGGATGTCACCTGGAGCTTCTTTTCTGTTGACAGCATTGTGTTTGTCTCTGTAACAGTGGCTAAAGCCGAGGCTGTGGGCTGATCAATCAATCCCCTCTGTAGTGCTCTCTCTATGCTGAAGGACTGGCCTGTAGAGGAGTCTGAAATAGAACAATCTTCCCAGTTGATCTCAATCTGAGGTGTCACGTGGAACTTAGTGGTGGATTTTTGAGCAAGGTCTTCAACCATGTCCGAATCGATGAGACCTTTTTGTACCGCCTCAGTGACTGTCATCTTGTCCCCTGTTAGTTGGTCAATGACTGTTCCTGATTCCCAGTTAATCTCAAGATCTTTCATTGAGGCTTCTTTAAACTTTCTTGTTTTCAGATCCCCTGACTGAGGTGAATAGACAGACTCCACAGTTTCTCTACTGGACTGCTGGAATGTTTTAGTGACAGATGAATGTGCTGCTGGAGACTTGAGGACTGGGGTTGATGTGATGTAAGGTGATGATGGGGACAGTTCAATAGTATCTGGGGAGTCCACTGAGATGGTTTTTATTTCTAAAACTGTACTAAATTCAGAACCTGCTGGTGCAAACCCGCTTTGTTTTTCTACAGACTTTTGCTTGGGTGGTCTCAGTGGCGTCTGCTGGAGTGTAATGGTCACAGGCTCTCCCACTTTAGATGCTGAGGAGATATCTGGGGTACCAGGATCTACTGTGATTGTGACTTTCTGACCTACCACACCCACAGTTGGTGACGCAGGGACACTTCTGCCATCTCTTTGGACATGAACTACTTTTGTTTGAATTTCTTCAATAGGAGGTGATGGTGTTGATTGGAAGATTGTTTTGGTCATCTTTGATGTTTCTGTTCTACTTTCAGAAAATGAAGGTCCAGTTTTTGTTGGACTTTTGTCCCTAATTGCATCCACCACCATTTTGCCGGCAATGACAGGGGCTCCAACTATGGCCATCAGGCCCAGCTTAAGGGCTTCCTGTGGTGACATTTTCTTCCCTGTCTCTTTGTCAACTACAGAGCCTGATTTGTCTACAAGTCCTCTGGATATAGCTACGTCAAATGACACTTTCTCTCCTGTGATTGAATCTTGAACAACAACTTTCTCTGATTTGAGGTCCCCTTCCAATATGGCTTTCCTCAGCGGGATAAGTTCTCCTGTTTTTCTATTGATAACAGATCCAGACTTGGTATCGTACACATTTTCCACTAAACCTTTCTCAATAGCCAACGTCAGTGGTAAGGTAGTTCTCTCAGCAGAGTCATAGACGTCAGCTCGTGTTCCATTGATTAGACCTTTCTTCACAGCCAGCCCCAGGGGTATTCTTTCTCCCGTTGATGTATCTTTTACAGTGACCAGTTCACCCCCTATGATTCCCTTATCAATGGCCTCTTGCAGTGTGTAACGTTGACCCGATTTCGGGTCAAGAAATTTTCCAGTGATGATGTTGAACAGACCACTGGATACTGCATCAATTAAATTTCTTTCCAGAACAGATTCTACTGGCTGTGGAATTGCTTTCTCTGTTAGGCCAGCCTGTTTAGCTTTGGTCATATCAAGTTTTCCAACTCTGGGGTTGATAATATTTCTGTTGAAGCATTCTTTCAGTGTAAGTGTTTTTCCAGAACTAGGGTCTTCAAGGGCTGGCAGAGAGGGATCAATAACTTTCCTGTCTATGGCTTCTTGCAGGGTCAACCATTCACCAGTTTTAGGATCCCTCAATTTTCCAGTGCTTGGGTTTACAAGTCCGAGTTTTAAGGCATTCATGTAGGACATTCCACTGGCAGTCTTCAGAGGTGTATCTGAACCCCTGATGGCTTCTGATGCATCAGTTAAATTAGAGCTCTCAACATTTTTGCTTTCAACCTCTGTTGTATAGTGGAGAACTTCTGTTGCTGGAGAAATATCTGCAGTTGATTCATCCTGGGCAAAAGTCTTTTCTAATTCCATGTCAATTTTAGACCATGGCTTGGAGGAATCTTTTGGTACCCGAGGTGTTGAAAGCTGAGCCTCAAGCAGATTCCCCTCTTCAAGAGACTGCTCCATCTGGGCAGCATTAGATGCTTTGGACTCGAGAAGATATCCAAATTCCTTGGCTTTTGCTAAGTCAATTTCTACATGTGTAACAGGATTGTAATAGGTTCCTTTATCAGGATTTATGATACCATCCTTAAGAGCCTTATCCAAAGAAATCTCCTTTCTTGTCCTGGGGTCTATAACTGAAGTCACCTCCTTTAAAGGGATTAATGGAGTGGCGGCTGATACACTGCTTCTCATAGTGTTCTCTTCTCGCCTCTTAGAGGTGACCTCCCCATGAATTAAGCCTCTTTCCATGGCTGCAGTGATGGTCATGGTGTCTTTAGTTATTGGGTTGTTGTATGCTCCTTTCTTGACATCAAGTATCCTAGACTGGACAGCCTGGTCATAAGACACCATTTCCATTGTCCTTGGATCAATAACACTGGTGATGCTCATTGTGACTGTTTCAGAGTGAATGTCCTCCATCAGAGTGGTGTCTGTGTATTCATGATCATCTGTGATGTGGATGCTGGAGATTTCAGCCCTCTCCAAGGGGTCCTCAGACTGTGCTTCTGGTGACTCCGCAAGCACAAGTCGCTTGTCTATGGCATCCCCAAGGGTCATGGACTCACCAGTTTGAGGATTCAAGTAAATGCCTCTGGTCTGGTCCAGGACGCCCTCCTCCACTGCTTTGGAAACAGAGAGAAGTTTTCCAGTGCGTGGGTCTACGACAGCTGTGACGGACAGAGTAGTCAGCTTTGTTGTAGTGATTCTGTTGACATCAGCCTCAACATCGGTCTTAACAGAGGACAGCTGGGCAAAGATGAGGCCCCTCTCTATGGCTTCGTGGATGGGAATCTTCTCTCCAGTCAGAGTGTTGATGTAAAGCCCTTCAGACTCATTGATGATACCCTCCGCAATGGCATCGGCAATACTCAAGTGTTTCCTAGTGACGGGATGTAAAACTGTTTTTAAAATATATGATTTTGTTTCCCTCAGTAAAGAGTCAGGACCCACCGCTGATTCGACAACGTCCTCTACAATGACAAAGCCCTTTTCAATGGCTTCACTTATCCTCATTGATTTTGATCTTCCTTGTGAATCCCAGCCATTGTAGATACCCTTGGCTTGATCAAGAATGCCTTCTGATATGGCTTGGCCCACCGTGATACGTTTCTTTGTTTGAGGATGGATGACCCCAACGATGGAGAAGGCTCTCGTCTCTTTCACGGCAGCACCTCCTTTCTGACTGCCGGCCATCTCCTCTGCCTTGATGTAACCCTTCTCGATGGCTTTATTCAGTGGCATGGTCTCTCCAGTGAGAGGATCTGTGTACTGTCCCTTTTCCAGATTGATGAGTTTCCTCTTGATGGCATCGTCCACATCCAACTCTCTGCCTGTCCTCCTGTCTATCACCGACTTAAGATTGATCTCTCTTGTTTCAGAGATCACTGATTGCATCACGAGAGGTTTGGCTAGAACTGTCGTGGTAAAGGAGTATTGGGAATCTGTCTTTGTAATGTAGCTGGACTCAAGTTTCTTGGATCCAGGCTGGATAGGAATACTCCTGGTTTGGTCCCCAGATGTCAGTGTCATAAATGTGTCTGACACGATATGATGAGATCTAGCATCTGTCTCATCAAATTGCTTTGATAAAGATGGAGGCGATGGCCATTCTGAAGATAATTTTAAAAGGCCTCTTTGGACAGCTTCCTCTAGTCTCATAATATCACCAGTTTTAGGGTCTTTGAAGAGTCCAGCTTTCTCATTGACATAGCCCTCTGACACTGCTTGGGAAAAGGCTAGGGCCTCAGCTGGTCTCTGGGGTTGTTCAATTTGTGTTAGCACAGTGGTGGATGTCATCATGGGGCTGATCAAGCTGAGAATGTTAGTGGCATCGTTGGCAGTGATGACTCCTGCTGAAGTTGCCTCTTGCATTGTTAGTTTCTCTTTGGTCCTTGGGTCCTCCACTGTACCTGTTTCTGGGTCCAAAATACCTTTCTGAAGTGCTTCCGCTACAGAAATGTTCTTGCCCTGAGCATCCTTGATGCTTGTTGGTTTATTTAGATCTTTGACAAGGTTCCGGTCCATTAATCCAGAACTGGCTGCCTGTTGCAGGCTCATTTCCCGGCCAGTTCTGCTATCTACGTAAGTGCCATGGGTGGAGATTATTTTTCTTTTGATGGCTTCGGACAATGTGATCACTTCGGACGTTCTTGGGTCTTTAACACCGAGTCTGGAAAACTCAACATCTTCATGAACCAGTTTCACAAGGCCACTTTTTACAGCATCTAAGACCGAATGTTTGGAATTGTCTGCAGTGTCCACAAAAAGACCAGAAGGGGTCATGATCCCTTTCTGTATGGCTTCATTGATGGAGATGACCTTGTTGGTATTTGGAACTAATATACATGCCTTATCTTTACTGATGGTACCATTTTCTAATCCTTCAGCAATAGTCATGATCTGACCAGAGAGAGGATCAAATACTTTCCCATCTTCTGTGAGACTCCCTTGTGAGACATGGTCGGACAAAGATGTTGCCGTCTTAACCAGCCCTTTGCCCAAGGCAACTGACAGAGACAACTTTTGGTTGGTGGACGCCTGATTGAAAGTTCCTTTGAATGGATCAATGATTCCATCCCTGACGGCATCGGTCAGAGTGATGTAGTTCCCTGTGGTGGGGTCTTCAACCTCCTGATAGTTAGGATTAATGTAACCCCTCTCCACTGCCTCCATTATGGTCAGATCTGTGTTGGACAGAGGATCAGTCACCTTCCCTGTGATTTCACTGTACAACCCCTTCTCAATGATTTTCCCTAGGCTGAGTCCTGAACTAATCTTAATGGGCTCAGAGTTGGCAAATACAGCCTGCGTGTGTGTTACTGAAGTCAGCTCAAGTTTCTCTCCGGATAAAAGTCGTGAGCATGATTCTGAAATGATGCCACGCGACACAGCCTCGGTGACGGAGACCCGTTCTCCCGTGGTAGCGTCTGTGAATGTGTTGCTGTTGGGGTCATAAAGCTTACTTTGTATCCCCTCAATGAGGGACATCTCTCGTCCGGTTTGAGGGTCCAGAAGGCCACATGGTGATGTTAGTTGCTTCAGCATGACCTCATCGATGAACCCTTTCTTGGCCGCCTGGAGCAGAGACATTCGCTGATGTGTTGATGGGTCAATGAATGTCTTGGTCTTGGGGTCAATGAGACCGCTCTGTAAGGCCTCCACCAAGGTGACTTTCTGTGAAGTGTATGGGTTCATGATGGCAGTCACGTGTAAGATCTGACCTCGTGTTCCTATCTCTTCATTCTTCACAGTGATGACAGTCTGTTCGTGTGGTTTGTAGTTAACGCTTGGCCCTGATGCCAGAGACAGGGATTTGACTGTTGGGGATGACACTTGGGTTGAAGAGTTCTCCATGGCCTTAAGGGTCAAGGTCAGTTCAGACATGCCTGTTCTGTTCATCTGAACTGTGGGAGAATCTTCAACCTGTTTTGTCTTGGGTTGGATTTTAATAACTTGTGTGTATTCAGGCAATTCAGCCGTCATGGACGACTCAGGTTTGTAGAGCAGTGTGCTTTTGTAGGTTTGCTCTGGTGTTGTGCCAAAGCTGGCCTGGGATGGTGATGGGCCATCAAACTGTTGGGTGAAATATTCTCTCATATCTTCATCTACCAACATTGAAGACCTTTTAGCCAGCTCAGCTCGGAATGTGCGGAGTAAAGGAATTTCTTCATCCATAATTATTTGAAACTGAAAAAAAAAAAAAAAAAAAAACAGGATGGTAAATATTATGATCTAAAAAAAAAAAGAACAACTCTCATTTTTTTAAATGAAATAATCTGCGGATTGTAAAGTGGGGGCAATGGCTTACTGACTATAAAATGGTTTCCCATGGAGGGCCCAGAACAAATTTACCTGGAGAAAGCGGCATTTAAAATATAAATTGGATTTTAGGAAAATGGGCATTTAAGTTATAAAAATAAATAAAAAGCATAGTTTTTTATTTTTAATTTTAAAATTTTTTCATGTGTATTTTGAACAAAAGATTATCTTAGGTTGGGAAAATCACCCAGATGAATGAATCTGCCATTGGTGAAGCCAATAGATTTGTATGTTTAATAATAATAATTGTTCCTTTAAAGCTACACTTTATCATGGATAGATTTTCACCAAGCTTAATACCACCTTTCTTCAAATTCAAATGAATTAAAAAAAAAAAAATATTAGTTGAGAATTACACGGATTTATCGACTCTGATATGAAAATGCTATGTTCAAAGCTGTCCACTTGTATAACACTGGCCCTAGCAATATTTTTTATTTGGTCAGAGATCTCCACACAGGGACCCTTCCAATGAATAAAAACATTCAATTCAATTGAAGTTCAAATTGGCTTCTGGCCCCATGACCGAGATGGTGTCAGTTTAAACTCCACTGGCCACACCGCCTGCTTACCTGCATGTCTCCATGTGCTGACAGAATGTCAGAGATCTGCCTGAGTCTTGTGTTGGCCCAGTCCACCATCTCCATGTAGAGTCTGTTCGTGCGGTCAAGCTCATCTCTGACCACATCAGATCCATCCTGGCGTTTCAATTTCTTGGCATTGGTAACTCTGGCACTGACACTGGTCATTTCACTGACTGTTTCCTTGAACTGTTTTAATCTCTTGTCAGAAATCTAAAAAAGACAATACAAGCCTTTTAAGACAAAAAAAAAAAAAAATCTTTTTGAATGTCAACTTCTACTGATTAACTATTTAAGTCTGCTGTTGACTTATTTGAAAGACTACCTAAAATTCATTATAAAATGACCCTAAAAGTTTCAAAAAGACATTTTCAACAATATAACTATTTACTGAGCTGCCGAATAGAAATTCGTACAATATACACACATTTTTTTTTTTCCACATGATATTGGAGGAGTATAGAAGGAGGAGCACTTAAGAAAAATATCATTTTAAATATTAATCGAGAATTGATTGATAAAATATATTTTTAAAAAACCCACCTAAAACCTAATTTCATTAATTACAGTATTGATTTTTATACATTCTTGATTTAATGACAGAAGTGTTGCCTTGAAGGCATTTAAATTTTTTTTTTTTTTTTTTAAATGGCTGAAAGCTTGACCAAAAGTATTTGCTTACGTGTGACATACACTCTATACTAAAAACAGTTTATTCTGTTTTGAGTGTATGTCACACGTAAGCAAATCTTTTATAATTAAGTCTAAGGAAAAGAAATATTCTTTCATGGCAAAGGGAGTCAACTACAGAAATAATTTTTCCCCCAATAATGCTTGTTTAATATGTATTAATTTTCAAGCAGAGGTCTAACAATCCAATAATAACTGATAATTAGAAAAAAAAATGGCAGAACACATGAGACATAATTCATTTTGAGGGGACCCCCCCTTTAGAGAAGTGACTATTCTTTATTTTTAAAAAAAATGTAATTAAAAAAAAAAATGATTAATTTATATTTGAAGTTTTTTCTTCTCTGCATATGAACAGTTATGGGCCTACATTTTAATTGTAAATACCTTTTTTTCACAACAAAAAAAAAGATTAATGCACTACTTATCATATGTAGATTTGAATTAAGTAAGAAGAGCTCTTCTTTTCATGTTCAGAACCAATTTATTGGACAAGAACACAATAAGGACTATAGATCGGTATACTACAATAGTTTTAACATTAAGTCCAAAGACACTTGATTTATACGCAGTTTCAAAATCTTCAACAGTAACAGCAGTAACCGATAGTACAGCAACCTACTCTCCTATAAGAACCTATTCTCACTAACCTAAGATTGTGGATTCTCATTTTCAACTATGCTATTATGGTTGTGATTTAAGTTGTTATCAATTTTTAAATGCTCTAAAATAGATTCTGCTTTTCATCTTTAATTTACTTACTGAAACCAATCAGTTATCATCAAGACACTAATAAAAATTGATTAATTTATTTCATTCATTGTAAAGTGATTGCTCTAACACAAATTGTCATGTTATTATATTTTAAGCTAAACTAGGGTTTCCCATTACTTAAGACATTCAGTGTTTTACATACTGCTTTACGAAAGATGAAAAATGAAAACTTTACCAATGGTTCAAGAGGACCCATAATGTATGTCAATAAGACATGTCCTCAAGTAAAATAAGTTTTCAACTTTTAAGGGTACTTTGTCAGTATGAAATGCCCAACAATAAATTATGTCTTTAACTTTTAAGGGTACTTTGTCAATATGAAATGCCCTTAAGTAAATTATATCTTTAACTTTTAAGGGTACTTTGTCAATATGAAATGCCCTTAAGTAAATTATGTCTTTAACTTTTAAGGGTACTTTGTCAATATGAAATGCCCATAAGTAAATTATGTCTTTAACTTTTGAGGGTACTTTGTCAATATGAAATGCCCTTAAGTAAATTACGTCTTTAACTTTTAAGGATACTTTGTCAATATGAAATGCCCTTAAGTAAATTATGTCTTTAACTTTTAAGGGTACTTTGTCAATATGAAATGCCCTTAAGTAAATTATATCTTTAACTTTTAAGGGTACTTTGTCAATATGAAATGCCCTTAAGTAAATTATGTCTTTAACTTTTAAGGGTACTTTGTCAATATGAAATGCCCTTAAGTAAATTATGTCTTTAACTTTTGAGGGTACTTTGTCAATATGAAATGCCCTTAAGTAAATTATGTCTTTAACTTTTAAGGATATTTTGTCAATATGAAATGCCCTTAAGTAAATTATGTCTTTAACTTTTAAGGGTACTTTGTCAATATGAAATGCCCTTAAGTAAATTATGTCTTTAACTTTTAAGGGTACTTTGTCAATATGAAATGCCCTTAAGTAAATTATGTCTTTAACTTTTAAGGGTACTTTTTAACTAAAAGATATTTTTTTTATAGTTATCTAAATGCCATTTACTTTAACTCCTCTCAAATAGAACTTATAAAAAGTAAGGTCAAAACTTTAATCTTAAAATGGACTAATAGTTTTCATCATTCTTAATGCTGTGGGTGGCAACAACGCCAACATGTGGTATAATAACACTTAGAAGTGGTGTTTCCAACTTAAAATAAATTTCCCTTTTTACATTGCAGAGATAAAAATATAATGAGAACATTTAAGTTCATGGGGTATAAAACAAGCCCAAAATATGGCAGAAAATTAAAAGCAAAAAAAATTCTAGCTAGATTTTTAATTTATAAATTAAAGCAAAAATCAAAATACAATTATATTTGTTCCAATTGGTCTTGTTTGCATTGAGTAAACTTTTAATAAGAGTAATATTGAAGAGCAGGTGAATACATTTGAATATATTAGAATGAATAAATTAAAGGAAAAATTGTTTATACAAAGTATTTGAATTCTTATTATAATTCTTTTAAAAAGCTACAAAGAATAGAATAATATAAAAATAGGGCTGTATATAAAGACATTTCCTAATGACATCTAACCTTGCATCTCATGGTTAAAAGGATGTATTTATCAAAATCTTTGCAACATCGCTATCTATCAAATAAGGAAACCACCTACTCAAATTTTTTTTCCTTTTCAAAATCAGATTGAATGTTTAATCTTTTATAACCAGGTATAACATTTGTTAAGTTATTGTCTATTCCTTTGAAAAAAACACAAAAACTATTCTAAAATCCAGACCTACTTTTGAACATGCCTCATGCAACAAAAGAAATTGACAGATTAACAGAAAGGAGAGTTAGGAAAATAAAAGTTACAACAAATAAAAGCAACTTTGATGATTTTTCTGACAACGCTTAATGTATAAAGCTATAAAAACGAAAAATTAATTTTAAAAAGTAGAAAAAAGCTGGCAGCAAAGTAAATTTCTAATGTAAAAGCTACGAAATAAAAATTGAATTGTTTAAAAATAGCATTAAATAGATTTGAATGGCATTTTAACTAATGCAACGAAATGAGTGATGGTTAAGTTTTATAAAATTTTATATTAGAAGAGAAAGTTTAATCCAATTTATTCCTATTTTGTTAACAATTAAAAAGAGTAAGCCAGTGTGATTAGAGGGGATCTTTGAAATTAACGCAAAAATAATTTATCTGCATTTATTAGGGAAGTTAAAGTAATAGAACATTGTAAGTTATAAAATTCAAAATATTTACAGCATTTCTCAAATTGCCTTTCTTTAAGCATTTTATTCTTTTGGATAAAAATGAGGAGCTGGCAGATTTCTACATAATTAAATCTCAAATTGGAAGGACTGAACTTCCATAACAGAAATCAATATTCTTTTTTAGTTCAATAATGATTTGGAATTATCCACAGATATTCTTTTTTAAGTATGGTAGCTGATATGTTCTCACTTCATTTCTTTTTCCATTTGAATAAGACAATAAGATATAACACGAACAAAAACCATGTTATGTGTTAAGTATTTAATCTTTGAATCAGTCTCACTTTTAATGTTCTTTCTTGTTATTCGTAAAAAAAGGGAACCTT